ACGCACTTTTTCTTATGATAGCGGATGAACTTACAACTTCATTCATAATGGTAAAATTACTTCATTCTAAGAACGCAATTAATTCATAAAAGGTCGAGCGGCAATGACGTCATTTAAAGTGCACGACTTGTCTTACATGGGGGGGTGAAAGACAGGTTTTTGTAGCCCCATGTAAATGGTAGATAATCCTGTCTAATATGCAAGAAAAGCTGTTCTGTCATTCCAGCCAAAGTTAAATAACTAAATGAAATATAAAGTACATGAACTTTAAACAATAAAAACTTTAAGCCTATTTGGTACAGTTGAATTTGTTGATGGTAGTATACACCAGTAAAAAAAAAGTACTTAAAGAGCTATTTCAGTTCAAACATAATCAGCCCAACCTCTTGTCTGTGTAGGAATAAAATGTACATGGACATTATGCTGTGTTTATGGCTTGTGTAGGAATAAACTGAAATAGGTCTATAAGAAGACTAGAACTACGGATTTCATGAAACGTAAATAAGTGATTATATAATCAATGATGCATGATCAATGAAAAAATCAATATGAAAATGAAAAATAAATCATGACGAAAGTGAAGAAGTCAGCGAATGAAAGAAGTCAAAAAATCATATAAAAACATATTTCATGAGCAACAAAACCTTGTGCAATTCATATAAACCATACCAGTAACTCAATGATTGGCATATCACTATGCGTTTAGCCATATTTACAGAACTTTGTCCTAAAATTCATTACCATAATACATGTACATTATCTAGATCAATTGTTTTGGGGGTATTGGGTTTTACGTCGCACCAACACAGTAAAGGTCAAATTAAAACTTTCCAGCTTGACTGGTGGAGGAAGACCTCTGATGCCCCTTAGTCAATCATTTCAGGCACTCCAGTAGAACTACCGACGTTCTGTAAGCTAGTTGAACAGCTTGAAATGTATGATTAAAAGTAAATAAAAGTGTCAGGTAAACTTATATTTTGTGCAATACAATAGTAACTCATCGAATAACTATGATCTGGTCAAACTCACATTGTGATGTATTGCAATACAGACAAACCCATATTGCAATACCTGTTGCTGCAATACACTGATTGTTTTGAAAAACAATATAAAACTAAAGCTAATGTTTTATTTCAGAAATGTAATTTATAAATATAATATCGCTTCTTTGACAAAAGGAAACTATATTTAAATACGATACCTGACAGCAATATAAGCTCATGTAAAAAGCAAGACAAAGAACAGAGGTTAAGAAACATTAAACTGCTGTATACTCTTTCTATAAATAAAAACTCACAAATTTTACACATAAAATTGTTCAATAAAATGGAATGTATTTTGAAAGTTTAAATACAATGTATACATACAAGTACAAGTCCCAGGGATGTGATACAATTTTGGCATTTTATATAAATGAGTCTTGGTAAGCATTATAATAAACGAGCCTGTGACAAGCTTAATTTAAAACAATTCTGTGTCAAGCTCAATAGTTTATATGAAATGTCAACAAATGTAAGATTTTTGTATCACATAAAACCATAATGCCAAAAAAAAGGGTAAAACAAACAATTATCATTTGATAAGCTATTTTTCAAATGATGATACCAAACGGCTAAAACTGTATACAAAAAACAGGAAAAAATAAAACAAATTCCTTCAAACCATCTGAAAAGTCAATGAAAGATATACCAATTATGTCAATTAACTGAATATGGAATACCAGTATTATAAATGACATACATTCATTTATCCTTTTAAGTGACCTGTAGATATAGGTATGGGGCGACAAAGAAGGTGAAGTAAATGTGGTAAACTGTTAACATTTTAAGACTTTTATGATCCAACCAAAAACAATAATAAGCTTTTGTTATCATATCAGCATTCAACCTGTTTCGTGGAATAGACTTGCCCCTTACTTGATTTTTGAGTCACAGTGAATTTATGAATTTTCACAACCTAAATCTCGCCAAAATTGGGCTGCCAATAGTAGATGATCTAGCACGAATACACATACATACATACATACATACATACTTGTCTTAATCTATATTGATGGCATGTGTAAGTCAACATTATCTTACATACTAAAAGTATTACAAATGTTTAAAGTGAATTGGTCTATAATGGAAGTTCTGTAATACAATACTTAATAATGTTGATAGGATTTAGTTAGTATTAGACATAACAACCATGAAAGAATTATAAGGATGTTGTTGACATTGGGAGATATATGAGCCAATATAACATATATCTTTATAGCAGATAATAAAATGTTCTGGAGAAAAATATCATTTGCCATCATATAAATGTTCATACTAAATAACTTAAAACTTTATCCACATTTTTTTTTCCCAAGTAAATTTTTTATAAGTATATAAGGATATCCAAAGGATATATTTCTATTGTTTTTCATCAATATTGGAAATTCTAATGGAAAATGTGCCAACTGTAGACCAATCCAATTTAATATGTAAGATATGGAATTCATGATTTCATGGAAACAAGAGCATTCAAACATCCACAAAATTTCATCAACTTAGTGCAGTAACTGTTAACTCCTCATACAATTTAATAGGAGTTAACAGGTTACTGGACTGCGGTTACAAAATGTTCTTTGGTATCATAGCTTTGGTCAACAACATACATAAACATATTGGTGGTATGAGAGGTAAACAAACATAAACATATTGGTGGTACGAGAGATGAGTGAAGGCAATAAAATAATAAGAACATACAAAGCAGTTTAACAATTTAGTGTTTGAAATTACTTTTTATCCAATAGGCTTGCAGTATTTCAAATGAATCGTTACACATTTTACTTTGGTAAATCTGCAAACTATTTATCAGTCTAGTAAATCGACTTTTTATAAAAATAATTTCAAACACTAAATTGGTTAGTGTTCTTAAGTAAGCATTTACCAAATTAAATTTGTGAATGCCAACTTAGGAACACTAACCAATACATAAAAATATACCATCAATAAATCATACATATATTTCAATGTATTTTATCAATGTATTTCATCAATGTATTTTATCAATGTATTTTAAGTAACAGCTGTAAATCAATATAAATCAAATAACAATAACGCTGTCATAGCAACTAACAAATTCAAAATAACATCACAAGTAAACTAAATAATTATTATAAGAATCATTTTTAATGACCTTTAAATCATGCACGCTGTTTTGTAAGTTTTGATCAAATTATATTTTTGGTTATTTCTTGATAAAAGTGATAAATTACACTAAGTGATATAACAATTTTATTGTCATTCAAGGTAAACATTGAAAAGGTTTAAAGCAGAACGTCTCCAGATTCTTGATTATTTTTCAGATATTTTTAAAAGTGTTATCATAAGCAAAAAGGTTTTAATTTGTATAAATGAAGTGATTTAACCAAAGTCTTAGTCACCAAATGTTCACAGAAAATACATGCAGCATACTAAAATAAGTAGAAATATCCTCTCTGTAAATAACAGGTAAGAAAAGAAAAAATAAATCTAGCATTCTAGGATTGTGAATGTTAACTAATTTATACATTTTACTTAAAAAAAAATTCTTTTATTTTCATTATTCATGTGGATGCACATAGCTAGCTCTAATCTCTCATCAAATAATTTTCAATAACACAATACATACTTTGATGGTTTTCTTGTACAAAATATTTCCAACTTATGCTTATCAAATTTGACAAATATTTAGGACACATCACTACTCAAAGTTTCCATACTAAACAGCAAATTTTAGAATACAAATCAGGTCAAAAACTATTCTTATTAGTTATTCTTGTAGGTCTGACATTTAATGAAGGAGTGAGGTAGAAAATTGAAGGAATATTTCAAAGTTATAAACAATGACAAATGTTTTTGTAATGGTTAACTTCCAAATAATTCTGTCATTTTATCTTGAACCTGCTAAACTATATGTTATAGACTTTCCAGCTTTGAATTTGTAACTGTTCTTTATTGAAAATTAAGGAATTTCAATAGCAAAATAAATGTAAAGAAATTGAGCTACCAGCAGTATAGAGCCTGGTCAGACTGCACAAATGTGAAGGCTGACATGACTCTATGCCAGAGATTGTTATCTATGTCTCCGCCCTTTTCTGGTGACAAAAACCAATCATGACAAAAACCAATCACGACAAAAAACTTATCATGACAAAAAAAACAATCATTCTTTGTTCTAGCAGGTTTAAGGTTTACTATACTAAGTTGTGTGATATTGTTTCATTTGGAACACTTAATTCATAACAAATAAATCTTAACACAAGTGCACTTACACAAAACCTAAACACATAGTGCATATGACAGGTATATGTCATGTGTTTACACACATACTAAACAATGTTAAAACCTGTACAAAAATCAAGCTGATACTGCATATGTCGATCTTTAAGCTTTAACTAAACTTACTAATAAACATTTAATAAAAAGTTACTTTACAATCAACCAACAAAATATTCCTCAAATATCTAAAATAACCCTCTAAAATATAAAACATTTCTTTACTACTTGAAGTTCTATACACATTACAATGACATTTCTTATGTTAAAAAAGTTTCATTCTTACATATATATCTATATGTACAATGTATATACATTGTACAGCTGTTTACAGTGAAACTTTACAAATAAACTCTGACAGAACATTTGCAACTACCTATACATGTATATCAGACCTGTCCTCAAAAACACAGCACTCATTATCTAAACATCAAAATAACACTTCTACATAAAGTGTAACTGAACACATTCAGTGAACATGGCAAACAATCAGTGTTAAAACTATGCATAAAAACATGCACTTTATGAGTAGGGCATGATTTGGTAACTATTATCTCCCCTGCCACATGACAATAATTCGTTGATCTATATTTAGAACACTGGAGCGACGTTGGTTGGTATCCATTTCATATTTGCAGGCTTGCCATCTTCATAAAGCCAAGTAAAAGGACCATAATTGTGACAACATATAAAACAAAACAAAAATGCACCCATAATATTGAAGAAAAAGTAAAAGAGAGATCATAATGCACACAAAATTATGAAAGAATCATTAAACAAGGCATAATTATGTCAATATATGTCTCACTATGGCCAGTATTTTTTTTAAAATTGTGTAGAAAAATATCCATCATTTAATCAAATTGAAAACAAGATGCAACTCACTAAATTCTGTTGTTTTTTTTTTGTGAAATTGCAGGAGAAATTATGTTACTACTTCTAAAACTTCTAAAACTGCCAAACATAGAATATTAAATAATAACATTTTTAAGACCATTAACAACAAAAGCAATGCAAAATAGTTAATACTTGTCTGTAACAAATAAATCTAATTTAAAAAGGGGCATAACTCCAAAAATATAGCTTTCAGAGTGATGCCCCTTGTCATGATAAGCAAGCATTTCAAGTTTCATCAGAGTAATGGGCTACCTAAAAGTTTTTACACCATGACATTGACTTCTTCGAAACAGACATGCTAAAAATCACTATAACTAAAAGTGCAAATAAAAGTCATGGCAAACAGATCTGTGTACTTCTATATTTATACTTCAACAATGGCCCTTAATAACTAGCACTCTAATACAACATGATACAGAGTAACAGACACATGTATGATAAAACTTCACTTGCTGGACGGATGGACACATCCCATTTTCTTATCTACCATTTCATATGAAAGCCGCAGGAGAAATATAACAGTTCTGTCTCTCTGTATAAATATTTGAACACCTATTTAAAGTATATTACACATCTAAATATCACAAGATCTAATTTTAAGGTTCATCCCAGTCTTTCCGCACTGCTGTTCGATTGATATTCTCTACGAGCCACTGCTGTGTCTTGGAATATTTATCACATGGATTCATGAATAGTTCTTGACTGCCAGTATCACAGTCCAAACACTGATTACTAATTGGATGGTAAATTTGTTGTGCATCCTGAAAACAAATATACAAAATTAGACTTCTTTTCCAGTCAGTCCTTTGTAAAACAAACACCATCTCCTCCATGCTTAGCATATATATTTAACCTTGTGAATGTTCTTGCAACTTATATTAATTACTTTCTATTCCGCTTCCTGGAACCAACCAGTACTGGTGTCATATGAAGAAACATGGTCATGACCCAAGTAGGGTTTGAACTCACGATCCATGGGTTGAAAGGCAGACACCTTAACCACTAGGCCACCACTCCCGCCCCATTTTATCCTGACCCCATTTCTAAAATCTGTTACTAAAAAGCATTATTACACTTAAATTTTCCTGAGTTTTGAAAATTTGCCATTTTCAAGATCAAGGACATTAATATATCTATGTGACAATTTATGTCAATAAGTCAAACTGACGCTTTTATTCATAAGTATTTGCATGTAGAAAATTTCAAAGCTTACACACATGGGAAAACCTTTACTTTAGTTTGGCTTATGAAAGGGTTTTTACAAATGTCTCATTTAAAAGTTAATAGTTCATTTTTCTTTAACTTATCAAAATCTCCTAACAAAATTTTCATTATTTTTTCCCATTAAAATACATTGCACTGTAGAAAGGATTAAACTCAGGTCACTTTTGTTTAAATGAAAATCTGTCACTTTGTAAAATGTTACAGACAAACTTACCAAATTATATTTAAATCTTTGGTTGCCACCCATACCGTGGCAGTTAAATAAAATGACTGGAGCTTTCCTGACCGAGGTTGATACATCAAAACATACTGTTCTTTTCTTCGGACGTATATCTTTATGCCAAGTTAACTCTAAATCCTGAAAGAAAGAATTAGATATTTAGTAACAATTCAAACCATTTATTTCCTTTTTATAAATTCAAAGAACATTTTTTCTTATTAAGGTTATTACTTCATTCAAATACAAGATAATAAATTTTACAGTAATTAGTAACATCAGTGCATTCTTTGTTTAATAAATTCATAGCTTTTATGCAAAAGAAAGGTTATTTTAACAAACCGGCAAAATTCTTCAATGTCAAAAGTTTTTTAAGCAACTCTTTAATGTGGAGATTATAAATCAAATTTTCAATGATAAGCTTTTTTATCAACTTTTGAAGAAGACAAAATCTTCACTGCAGAGTTTCAAATTTAGTTATTTAAGAAACACAACAAAAAATATACTCAATAAACATACAAATCATTGTAGTAATATATATATTTTAGAAAATCCATTAAATATGAGCACAAGAACAAAGACCCCTGACAATATGGTTATAAGCAGGTCTTGGCTGGCAGAAGAAAGGAAGGAAGGAAAGCTTAGTACCAGTTTTACCAGATATGACCAAATCTAACATTTGCAGACCATATAGCAAATAATTTGAAAAAGGATATTCAAATAAATACTTAAGCTAAACCATGATCTATTTCTTAGATTCTACAAAGTTTTTTTCTGCTTTATTTGGGGTTTTTTAATTTGTTTTTTCTAATATATAAATCTATATTTCTCATAATTGCTTAAACAGACTTTCCTTGCAGTTAATAATGGTTCCAATTTGTGATAAATTGTCTTACCTGAGTGGAAAATGAATCAGAATGTATATAGTAAATTCTGTAATTAATTACTCAGTTACCATATGATGTAATATTGATTATAAGTACTTGAAACTGGTAAAAAATGATGTGATTTTACAAATTGTTCAAATACAAAATGTATAACATCAATCCATCATGACATTATTTTCATTTTAGTATAGAATGACGAATGTAAATAAAATAATGGTCAAATAAGACAGAAATAAGCTTATACAGGTTAGGTCAATAAAGGTTATTCATGATTTATGAAGCTTTTTAAGGCATTGCCTTACCTTAAAAGCCTATTTAAAAAAAAACTGTCCCCAGAGAACACCTGAGTAGAACAACCAACCTTTCGCAAATTTACAAAGTTGCTTCCTTGCACGAGATAGAATTCCTAACTATAGACTCAAAAAAGTAATACTGGCAAGTGGTTTAGAGTTTACTTTTTTAAGCAGGGTCTGTAAGTTGTCCAAGGAAAGTGACTTTTCACCTTATACAATTGAGGTCTATAGACCTTTTTCCATTTTTTTTTCTTTTTAAATCATGCAGTTCTCCCAAAAAAATCTGAACTAACACCAGCTGTTTTACTTCCCAAATAGGCAATTTTAGCGATAATTTGCCCCAAAATCAAAAGGCTAAGGCCTCTCCCAATTAAGTGAGAAAACCACTGACAGATCACAAGGGCCTGTAAGTTGACCATGATTCACAAGGGCCTGAAAGTTGCCAATAAATCACAAGGGCCTGTAAGTAGTCAATAAATCACAAGGGCCTGTTAGAGCTACAGACAACATCACATACACCTGTAAATGATCAGTATATTTGTATACCTGTTCTCCACCCCCTTTACCATCTTTTATACAATCTGCTAATTTAAAGTTTTCATTGCCTCCTCTATACTTTGTATCTATACACAATGCTGCTGCTGCACTTCTAAACTGTAAACAAACAAATATAAGCACACAGGAAATTAGAGGTCTTCTAACTAGCCCAACAACCTGAACACTGTATATACATTTATTTACATAGATAATAAGCCCAACACCAAAAGGAAAGGAATCTGTTGACCAGGCTAACAAGACTTATAAACAACAAACATAAGAAATTATACTAAAAATGCTAATTTGCCATTTGTTCATTTCATATATTCAATTAAGCACTTTAAAAAAAAAAATTTGTTAAAACTAAACAAATGCTTTTAAATGAATTAGATAGACCCTTATTTGCTGCTGATTCTAGCAAAACAATAAAAAAATCACATTTTTTTTTAATTAAAACAGATTATGTAAATGTTGTCTAACAGCAATTCTGTATAAGTCTCTTCAAACAAAGTACTTAAAATGAAATCTTTATCAACCAATGGCAAATCAGCAAATATGTACTGGTCTCTAACTTGAATTCTTTAACCAGGAATGCAAGCATCTTAGCAAAACAATAAAAAGCTGGCAATTCACGCATTCTAAAACCTAGCTAAACACTGTTTTCCAGTATTCCCTGTACATTTAAGACGTTAGCTCTGGGGAATTCACCTAAATGGCGTGTGATAGTGATAAGTATGTTTTTGGTATTTGATCGACCTCAAAAATAATAAAAGAATAGAAATATCTTTTTGTAGTAATGCTATGTATTGCATTAAGTGTAATTCCACATAGCTAAATTTATAATTCATTGGAAAACAGTATTTAGCCAAGTATTCGAAAATGTAAATAATGCAGAACAAATAAGGCATGGTATAATTCTAGCACCACTCAGGGAATTTGTCCTCATCATCACCCTGGCTATAACCAATAAAAAGATAAGGCATGGTATAATTCTAGCATCACTAAAAGGAATATCATCATCATCCACACCCAGGTCATCATGACTTTTACCTGTTCACCCCCAGGCTGACCATCAGAGATACATTTCTCTAGTTTGAGATTGCTACCACTCCCTCTGTGTTTGGTGTCAATACACAGTTTAGCTTCTAAATTCTTATACTGTAAGTCAATGCTTATTATTATTATTTATCAGGTAACATGCAGCATGATATCATAATTAAATATTCAAGTTATCATCCAGTCACCAACATGATGTTAGTATTGTCAGGTATAAAAAAAACAACATGTATACAACCATAATTGAACAAGGATAAAAAAACTAATCTGCGCATAATGTCACTTTAATATGAAAACAAGATTGCATTTGAGAAAAATGCTATGCCACCGCATTAATACAACACTAAATAGTAGTGTAGGAACATATTTTTTTTGTTTCTATACAATTGAAGATTGTCATAATGCATAGATCCCTGACCTATCTAATTCTTATTATCAGATTAGTGATTAAATCTGTTGTTAATCAAATAAAAGATCAGAGCAGGAATATATCAATGCACTTGAGTCTAGTGAATTTGGTGGTGAAGGTCATATTTCACGCAGCCTAAATTTCATGACTACATCAAAGGACAACACAGTAAGACACTTTGTCAAAATCTAGGTAAGCTGATATCAAAGTCCACTTTACATCTTAATCTGTGCACATGGTTCAAATTTCATAGCTGTAGATCAAAGGACAAGAAAGTAGGTCACATTATCAAAATCTAGGTCACCTGATATCAAAGTTCAATTTTTCAACTAAAACTGTGCACATGGTCAAAATTTCATTGCTGTACATCAAAGGACAAGAAAGTAGGTCACTGTCCCCTTGGTCAAGGCAAAATTTTGACCCAAGGGTTTAATTCAAAACAATCTTGATACAGGTCCACCAAACAACATTTCAAGTCAAATATCTAAGCTGAAGCTTTCTCCCATTCAGAAAACATTTGTTTTATTTTCTGTTTTTACTATGTGTACATAATGAGAATCATGCCCCCGGGCAGGGCCAGTTTTGACACCAGGGGAAAAATTTGAATAACTTTGGTAGAGGACCTATAGATGATATTATATAGCAAACATGAAAGCTCTATGCCTTGTACCTTCAGACAAAAATATTTTTTATTTTTTTACTAGATATACATAATGTAAATCAATGACCCCCGGGGCAGAACCAATATTGACCCCAAGGCTAAAATTTGAACAATCTTGGTAGAGGTTCACTTCGCAAAGTCTCATGCCATATATTTAAACTCTAGCCTTTGTCAATTCAGAGAAGAAGATTTTTCAAGTTTTTACTTTATACATATAAGGAAATCTAGCACCTCTGGGGCAGGGCAATTTCAACACTAGGGGCATAATTAAAACAACTTTAGTAGAGGACCCAAAGATGATATTGTATACCAAATATCAAAGCTTTAAGCCTTGCACCTTCAGATAAGAAGATTTTTTAATTTTTTACTCTATGTTCATAGTGAAAATCAATGACCCCTAGGGGTGGGGCCAATTTTGACCCCAGGGCTATAATTTGAACAATCTTGCTAGAGCTTCACTACACAATGTTTCATGCAAAATATCTTACCTCTAGCATTTGTCAATTACTAGAAGATTTTTTTTAAAGTTTTAACATATCAGGATAACCAATGACCTCCGGGGCGGGGCCGATTTTGACCCCAGGGCTATAATTTGAACAATCTGGGTAGAGGTCTACCAGACAATGCCTTATGCAAAATATCTAAGCTCTAGCCCTTTTGGGTCTTTACAAGAAGGTATTTTAAGTTATTACTATATGTACATACAGTGAAAATCAATGACCCCCGGGGCGGGCCAATTTTGACCCCAGGGCTATAATTTGAACAATCTTGGTAGAGGTCTACCAGACAATGCCTTATGCAAAATATCTAAGCTCTAGCCCTTTTGGGTCTTTACAAGAAGGTATTTTAAGTTTTTAATATATGTACATACAGTGAAAATCAATGACCCCCGGGGCGTGGCCCATTTTGACCCCAGGGCTATAATTTGAACAATCTTGGTAGAGGTCTACCAGACAATGCCTTATGCAAAATATCTAAGCTCTAGGCCTTTTGGGTCTTTACAAGAAGGTATTTTTAGTTTTTACTATATGTACATATAGTGAAAATCAATGACCCCTGGGGCGGGGCCGATTTTGACCCTAGGGCTATAATTTGAACAATCTTGGTAGAGGTCTACCAGACAATGCCTTATGCAAAATATCTAAGCTCTAGGCCTTTTGGGTCTTTACAAGAAGATTTTTTAAATTTATTCTTATAATTTCTTTCGGTTGCCATGGCAACCAGATTTCTGCATGGAATGAAATTCTTTGAACAACTTTGGAAGCCCTTCACCCAAGGATCAATCCTGGCAAGTTTGGTTTAAATTGGACAAGTGGTTTTTCACAAGAAGATTTTTTAAGTTCACTATATAATCTATATAACACACACACACACAAACAAACACACACACAGGTGAATCGCTATATGCCACCGCATCGCAGATGCTGCGGTGGCATAAAAAAAATGTAAATACTGTAAGTGGAATGTGATTCAAATGTACTAGTAATTGGTTATTTAATAGTAATTTCAAGGTAGTAAATCTTAAAATAATTAAATGTAATTGCAAAATATTTTCAAATACAAATTACAATCAAACATGCAATTATATTGCAATTAATTACAATTACATTTTTAATTACCCTGATATGACAAATTATGACTTATACTTATAAAGGTGATACTAATTTAGTGGACAAATACGTATTAAAATTCCCAGTACAAGTTTATTCTGTATGTGTACATATACATGTATGTCCAATACAAATGTTATTCAAACAAATTAACAATGTGGCGAGAAGAAAATGTGATTACTTACTATCCACATAGGAAGAAAAAAAGAATTTTTTAACTTTTTAACAAAACAAAATTTTAACTTATGTTATAAGACAAATGTTTCAACTTTCCAAGAAGCAAAAATATTCTGTATCTATATAACTATGGTTTACCTCTCCACTAGCAAATGGTGGTGGTTCCACTGGTGGATATATTTTTGGTAAGTCAAACGCTACTTCCTCCATAAACCATTTAAAAGTTTTACACTTTAATCGATCTCTGACAGCCTTTTGTTCCGAGAGATCCCCAGTGTCAATATTTCTGTAGTGCGGGCGACGTTTATACAAGTATTCTGCATATTCATCCATCCAAACTTCTGCAACCCTTCGATAATTCTAGATAATAAAGTAACAGTTAAACAATTACAATCAAAAGCATAATACTTATAAGAAATAACTTAATGAAAATTAACAGATGAAAAGGGAGACAACCACAAAACACAAATAATTTTGATATCAATTCATTAACTCCCTTATAAATTCATAAAGACATGTCAAATTATTACCTCCCTTAGAAATCAAGATTAACTGATGTTGTTCTCAAATTGATGTTTACCTCAAGTAAAAATATTAGCCAAACAGAAAATATTGAAATAATTAATATGAAGGTTTATCTTCAAACAAATTGATAGAGTTATAACTAGCTTAAAAATTAATACTCAAGATTATACAATTATATGCAAATATATATATTTTAAGATTTTAATAAAAATAAAAAGATACTATATAAACCTGTAAATTCCCAACTACATACTGTGTTATAAGAAAGGAGAGAAGGTTAGCACTCCCCTTGATAAGGACGGAAGAGATCTTTATGGTCTTTATAACACATATAAGGCACGTCCCTCTTACTTTGAGGGCAGCTTATATTTTTAAGCAACCAAATATACCATTAAAATCAATACATATAACAGATAAGCAACCAAAAATATCATTACAATCTAATACATAAGAAATGTAAACGATTTGTTAGTGTAAGACTTGGCATTCACTCCTGGAAACCTTTTCACACTAGAATAATCTTTTAGAAAAAAATTATATCGTGCCTATTTCACAACTGGTCCGCCCAAACAACAATATAATTAGCTAATTTATAGACGGCAACATATAATAATTTGTCTTTAAAAGAACATGAACAACTGACTACATAAACTTTTCACAAAAAATGCTTACCCTTCCAACGAAGTCACCAACGCCAGGGTTTGGAAATGGAGCAAACTTTCTGTAAATGTGACCAATCCTTGAACATGGGGCATCCACCATTTTCCCACCACACTGCCACAGCTGAAAACAAGGATGTATGATATCTAAAGATAAAGTCTAGACATCTCATAACAAGAACACAGCAAAGATGGGGCAATATATGCTCTAATTAAAAAACTGAGTAATCAAAAATATTCTTTAAATTAAGGGAAGAGACCTATTCATATGAAATTGTCTGAAGTACTGCGAATTCACATATATTCGTGGGCATGAAATTTCATGGTTTTATCAAAACTGGCATTTTCGTGGGTTCTTAAATTCGTGGATATTCATTTTCTTGTAAAAAAAAAAATAACCTTAAGAAAAAATAATCTCACTAAATCGCCGCGTATTTTTATTAACCGCATGTACATATCTTGACGTTTCACACAGCGCTTGTCTTGCCTCTGGGCATAACATAAAGATAGCAGTTACTGCCGATAATTGACTGCAATTAACACATTTTTGTGACATGATATGCAGCTCTACTGTACACACTGCCCCTGTGATTCGCCGATGTAAACATTGCATAATTTATACGACCCCTGACATGTTTTAACAAGCGAGTTTAAAAAGTTTACACTATGAATTTGTCTTACCATATTTGACAGTAACTACACGCAACATCGCATCAACTGTGTAAATTTACATGCATATATATTGATTAATATGAGTAAATAACACGTGGTTGTGCGGATCTAGACGTCGGCAGCGTGTTTGATGTTTACGGAATAGCAGTCGAACAAATACAGATTAAAATTCATTTAAACTGGATCTTTTAAAGACGACAATTCATCCGTTTTAGCGATTGTTTTTTTTTTATTGTTTTGTGTACTTAACTTACGACATTAATATCAAAGATTTCTTTAATTCATAAGAGCAACCTGGCAATTTTCATTAGCGCTATTATTGCACTGGTTTCCCGTATTTACTCGATTATGTAAAGTATTCTGGGTAACACAATCGAGCAGTCTCGTGATGTGTATATATGACCGACATTTGTGACAGCAAATTAAGGACATATAATCGTCTTTTCTTTCCAAGTTTCTTAAATATTGCAAACCTTAACTATTTATAGATTTAATCTTTCACTTACTTGATTATCTGTTTACCATCATAACACAATAATCGGTCGGAAAAAATGTTGATGCATGTAAAGAATAGAGACATGGTTAGAAGTAATTCTAGGGATAAAGTTTCGTTGGATCTTAAATTCGTGGATTGACCTACCCACGAAAACCACGAAAATTCGTGCCCCACGAATAATAATGATTTTACAGTATGTGTTTTATGCCGATTTCGTTAAAATACTCCCAGGGCAGGACATTTTTAACTCTGGGCCATGGTACATAAAAATTTTGTAGAGGTTTACTAGACAATGCTACATGCCAAATATCTAGGCTCTTCTGCAAGAAGATTAAATCTTTAGTCAACATAAAGAAAGTTACCGCTGGGGCGAGGCTAATTTCAACCCAAAGTTCATGATATTTATAATTTTTGACTGGACCACAAGCAGATGCTACAAGGAAAACCTATCTGCATTATTTCAGGCACCATGGGAACCTGAGTAGAACCATCAATGTTCTATAAGCTAGTTTGATAGCATCCTCATATAAAAATATCCAAAGTCCCTGCAGGGATTCAAACCCACAGCAGTGAGGGGCAAGTGGTTTGAAAACAACAACCTTAAAAACCCTGCCACAGACACATTGTTGCTATGTTTACTATTATGCCATCTTTACTATTTAAGCCATTCCCCCCCCCCCCCCCCCCAACAGGGGGAACATTTTTTTAGCGCAAGGGCGGCATGTTTTATATAATTTCTATAGACTGCTATTAGGTAATGCTACATGCTAAATATCTAAGCTCTGGGCATTGCAGTTTTATATAAGAACAGTTATTTGAGTTGTCTTTTAAAAATCTATACAAGCTAAATGATCCCCAGGAAAAAAAACATAACATATACTTTAACATAGGTATGACTATAAAACTGAATGGTAAAACATTTAGTTTATCAGTTCATCTTAACGCCTAACTAAAATGTTTTACCTTGAATGAGAGTTCATATTGTTCACCACCCCAGATATCTAGACCGGGATCATAACCTCCAAGTTCCCAGAACCACCTTCTACTGATTGCAAACAATCCCCCTGCCATAACTGGACTCCTGAAACAGTGAACAAAACATAACATTGATGGAGAGAATAAACATGGATGAATGACCCTCAAAAATAAATATTCAATGTCTCTTGAGTTTAGCACAATACAAAATTAAATTGAAGATAAACAAATTACTGCATAAAAAACAAAATTCTGTACTAATTTAATAGTAATGTTAGTGAACTACTAGAAATCAGTCTACAGGGCACTGATGCCCCGACATTCCACTGTTCCATCAGTGTACGGACCGACAGCGGGACACAAAGTCAAGGGCAATTCTATATGCCACCCTCGCTATTTGTGTGAGGGTAGTCTGACCAGAACATACTATAGGCATCTTAATTTCAACTTTTATCTTCCTATAATCAATAACGAACAGTTTCATATACAAAAACTAAACAAACATAGTATAGTTTTGTAATTGCATAAAACAACCAATTTAAGTTTACATGCAGTTTGTAAAAGATGAACACTAAAAATCTAATTAAGAGTTCAAGGGAAATTTTACTCTAAAGATTGATAATTTTACATTTGAAGTATTTTACTTGAAAGGTTCAGCAGGGTGTTTCAGGTCCTCTGGTAGTAATGGTAGCCTCTTGTAGAAGAACTCCCAGTCAAATGCCCCTCTAGCACCTTCATCCTGGGCTCGATAGTTAAAGTTTTCAAAGTCAATTACATCAATGAACGGACAAACGACTGTCCTGTAATCCTCAGCTATTGGATCTGTAAAATTATTATTGCATCTTTATTTGTTTGGTTTAGCAAAAACGTGGATTAAAGAGACTCCACTGTCGTTTTTTCACATGACGTCGAGACGGAAATTTTTATTTTTATACTATTTGATAACTTGTGTGCAAGATTTCATATCATTCGCTTACTCAGTTTTTATAGAATAATCAATTTTCTTTTATGTAAAATGACATAATTTCAATTTTTAGAGCCTGAGGTTTAGACTAACCAGTACTAGCATTTTATCAGTAAATTAAAATGGTCATGACCATTTTATGGTTTGAACCCACAGCTGTAAGATATAGATTACTTCAGCCTTTCAGGCAACAGAATCACTTGTTTATTTAAAGATCAAAGTATAAATATAATTATGTTTTCAATAAATCTTAAATCTTGCTTAAATATCTCCTTATTAATACTTTGTTGTGGTGTTGGTAGTATTGGTAGTTTTTACTCCGAATCACAGCAGTAAGTCACATTGAATTTACCAGAGCACAGTTCAGCCACCGCATCATTCCTGGTCAGGCTGTCAAGCAGTTAACCAGTACTTGTTGCCTTCACTTTTGCAAGGAACTGAAACTTCTGTACATGCCACAGCAGAGGTACAGTGCGAATGACCGTAGAAAGGATTTCATGATCAATCACAACAAAAGTGACCTGCACCATCTGGAAATCAAACTCGGATCACCCAATTCAAAGTCCAACACTCTACCTATTGAGCTAACCGGATGGCTTCTAATACTTTGTTGTGTGTATTTGAGTTTATACATACTAGCCACCAGTTGCCCATATGAGTGAGTCCTCAAGAAGAGTATTAGTCATTTTAGAATTTGGTGGATATGCAAGATACAGAGATGCCCTAAATCCTGAAGCCTCTCATGGTTTTTTAGCGTGCCATGTGTTTAAACACTAATAAAAGGGACCTTGATTTAAAGTCTCATCTGAAACACCAACTAGTAATTTTAAGTAAGTGGCCAGCCCGGGAATAGAACGCACAAAAAATGTTGACATTATAAGTTTCGCGCTCTAACCCATTGAGATATGCGGGCTCAATAATGTCTAAAATTAGTCAACATATAAACAAAGCTAGCCTACAAAATATCAATTTACCTAGTAAAGGAGGTAGATAATTAATATTTGCTTCCACATGCGAATCTAAAAATAGTATCACATCCCCTGTAGCATGTTTGGCCCCTAATATTCTGGTTCTAATAAGACCTTCTCTTCTTTCAGCATGTACAACCTTGACCTTATTTCCAAAGTGTTCTTTCATGTAGTGGTCTAATTCATCCTTCAAAAATTCTGAAAATATAAATAAATCATTTAGATCATGGAATGAATTTTTGAAAGCGTACATTGTAAATAGTTGAATAAAATCATCACATAATCAAACCTACTGTGATATGTGATATGTCATAGTAAACTCCAGTGTTATAAAAGAAGAAATGGTGGATTTTATTAACAAACTTTAACAAACTATCCGGGACAAAAGGTATTCTCATGTTTTAACTAAATGAAGTGTGTCACACTTCCAGACTTTTAAAGGCATCTTGTACATGATACATGTATATGAACTTAATTTTAAGGTGACTTAAATTTAATACATGTGTACAAGTTTCACTTACATTCATTTTTTTAATATGAATTTTCATTTCCTGGCACATACTTGGTCAATGCTTGAGAATTGATACATCTATCAGTAATATTTTAATATTAGATAATACACGTGTAATGTCTAAATAAACTTAATTGGCAAAAAAAAAATTGAAAAATCTAACTCCTTCATTACCTCTAAATATGAACAACATAATTAATTAACAATTTTTTGGCTTGGTTTCAACTTAGTAAAATATCAATTGCTCAATTTGTGTATACATTTTGGGATAGAGAATTTCAATACCTTTTGATTTATGTGTTCTTTACATCAGCATTTGTTCATAGGATAATTTATAATAATCCTGTCTCCATGAAAGGCAGTCATAAAAAGATCTGTTTTCATGAATGGTTTAAGTGGAATAACAAGGACAGACAAATTTAGTTTTATACAGTTTTGGACTACTTAACATTTGTACCATACCTTCTTCTATTTTTGCATCTCTTCTAAAATGAACAATATTTTTTACTGTATAATTGTATATCTTATTGATTTTAGAACTCTGGTCATGCCATCATTTTACCATACATACATCTCTTCTATAAACATCAGTATATTTAGCATATTCATGTACTTGCAAATAGTAAGAGAATGGTATAGGCTGATTGTGCTGCCAGGTGGTCCTGCACACCTTTATTCTGGCATACTCAAGTTGAAATATTGATTATTTTGAAATATACTCCTCTATTCTAACTGGCCATGAGAAAATATTCACAAGTACCAGTATTTATTCATAACACTGAATATTTTGTTTCTCTTTACAAAAAAAATTAACATTTTCTTTACTTCCTATATACATGTATGTTTCATTTTTATGTTCATTTTTTACCTAAAACATTGCAGATTTATGTTTAAAGCCAAACAAACTTGCTAGTATCTAGAAAGCTTTCTTCTGATAAAACATTTTCTGCTCCTGGTCATTCAAATGCTTATTAGATTATTAAGACATAGAAATTGAAGTTACATGCCAAATACATTACTTTTAACCAAAGTATGGCTGCACTACCTTATACATAGGTGATTTACTGACATTTTCTCTTTACACAACCTGTTACCATTCAATAATAAATTCAAAAAGTATCTCGTTTTACGTTACACGTCCACAATGAAATGTAAATAACAAATGAATAAATAACTTGATCATTGCCCTTCTACGATTTCAAATCCATGAAATATCGCTGAAATGGCTTCCTATGAAACATATGATGAATGATTTTACACAACAGATGTTCCTATGCCTTTTGTACACTTTATTTACATGTACTTCACTCTGTGTGTGTGTAACTATATCCTCAATATTAAGAATGTTAAAAAGATACCCACGTTTCAGTATAGAATAGGGGAATATGAAGACTTTATCAGAGATTTATAGAGATAAAAAACATGTTATCCTACATTAATCTGATGGTCTTTGTACAAATATATATTCTCTACAATATATCCAGTTGTCCACAAATATCATAAGAATGAAGAACCAGACAGGTTCCAAACTGGTAGATCTTTATTAAAATATTGTTCAAATTTAATTATTTATACAGTGTTGATGTGTGGTTTCTTTGTATTCTTCCTTTTCATCCAAATATCATAAGAGACAGAATCTTACACATTAAGCATGCCTACATAGAAATTGTACAAATTACCAAGTGATGGGACTGAGCAAGAAATTCATTTTTATTGTGATATCCAATAAAAGTTTCTGTAATTTCTTTTTTAAATATAATTTATATGTAATAAAGAAGAAAAAGTATCAACCATCCGTTGTAATCGCAGAACTGTGTGTGAGTAAGGAGACATTCTCAGTTGATTTATTTTTAAAAATGACCAATATTTGACAACAAGTTGATGGTACAATTCTTGAAATTTGTATGCTATATTTCCATACCATTAATGATTTATGACAATTTGAGGGCATGTCAGTTTAACATACTAGGGAAGAACAAGGGTACTCTGTCTGTCATTATTTTAGACAGAAGAATGGTTAATTATACACTACATTTGTATGTATGCACTTTTATTCTGCCAGATTTTTTTTCCATAAAACAATGCCTAATTAGTCAATAAAGCTGAGACACTGTGTTACAATATATCAATCACTTTTACAATTATGAATAATTGTCTCTGTTTCATATTTATCAACACTGTAATTATGATCATTTCTTTTTTTTGTAAACACATGTAAATAAAATCAAAAATCATAAGTTAATGTATATCTTTCCATTGTAAATTAGTACTATATAGATTTCAATAATCCAATATTTGATCAGTTTGTTAACTTCACAATTTTTCTTTTTAAAAATCTTTTGAAAGTAAATTTAATCTCCTGAAATAACAACATAATCAGCGTATAATATCTTACTTTTTGTGCTAAAATCATCCACTAAGATGACCTCATGTAATAGTTCCGCTGGCGCCCTGTTTATCACACTGTATGTAAGTCGTAACAAAGTCGTCCAATGTTCATTATGGAATGGCACAACTATACTACAGTTAGGCAGTTTGTTCCAGTACTTCTTAGCTTTGCAACTGCAGAAAAATAACAAAGTTAAGTAAATCAATCTATTGTTCATATCATTATTTGACATTACAATGACAAAAAATGTCTGTGATATTTCATAAAATTTTCCCATTTATTATTGATAAAAAATTTAATTTTATTAAATAAATCACCTTCTTATAAGTAAGCTTTTGTTATGTACCTTAACTGAATTATGCTTAATTGCAACTTTGAAGATACATTAGTTGTCCCTAATATTTCAAGGTTTGACTGTACACATTAAATGTAACAAAATCTTCATTATAAACAACATGTGTCAACAGTTCAATATTCATATTCTTCATGACAAAAACAAACCATAAAGGTACAGCTGCAAAATATTCACCTGACCCGATTAACATCAGAAAAACAACCATTTCATTAATACAAATTTGCCTTAAGGTAAAATATTGATAAATAAAGAAATGATTGGTAATAAAGATAACCCTCAAATATGTCATGTATCATTTCATATCACTGTAATGTTAACATTATGTTTAATAAACAAGTACAGCATTTAATTGATTGTTTTATTTTCGAAAATGATTTAATCAAATTTTCACCATCTCATAGCTTAGGACTGATTTATGTATACGTATTTCGATCAAATACCTAGAAATGATTGGTGATTTATCCAAACAAATCTCAAGCCCATAACAAGAGAATCTCTTGACTAAAAACCCACAAAATATAATTGTTGAGAAAACCAAAACATATTCATTCATACAACAAGAAAAGAAAGAATGTAAGAATGCAATCAAATAAACTAAAAACAGTAGAATGACAAAACTAAAACATGATTATTACACCAAACTCTTCTTTACTTTTCGACGCTATTGACCTCATATAATGCTGACATAATTTAACTGTTTATTGATCATTTATATATCCTGATAAAGGCTGTTCAGCTGAAATGTTGGCATATTAAATGGGAATTTTAAGAAATTGCATTCTACTTCTTATTTCTTACTATATTTAAAAATACAACACAACATACTCAGGATGTCTTATATCCTTTAATGACCTCTGTAGAGATATTTTATCACTAGCAAATGCGTTAAAGCCATTAACTTTATACAGGTCATCTTTCTGTTTTTCTTCCTCTGCACTCAGTATAACAGCAGCCCCTTGTTCTCCCGGTCCAACACGAGCTTTATCCTCCTCAATCTGCTTGTAATTATGCCAGTCTATTTTCTTCCTGGATACCTACACACAATTGTAACATTCATAATGTATAAGCTGAATCTTTATTTGTATCATAGTTTGGATACCTTTCTGTTGAAAATGTGTCAGGATTAAATCGTATACATATACATGCACAGTGTGTTAACTGGAGTGCAGGTATCAGTAACACGCACTTCAGAGCATGCCAGTTGATTGGCTCATTTTTGCTGGGGTTTACTCATTATGACAGCAGAGAAAGGAAAAGCAGCAGAAATATTATATTCAGATGCTCGTCCATTGGTTTCTTTTTTTCTGGATTATCATATTGTGACAACAGGAAACGCTTTGTTATGTTCAACTATGATACAAAAGAGAAAGAACACCAAAACACTCGGCAATCAGATTTATACTTGAGGGCTACGCCCCCTCATACAAATCAGATAGCCTCGTGTTTCGGTGCTCTTTTTATTACTTTGTGAACTGAGCAATACAGTTCATTTCTATTATGCAGCTTTCCTATAAAGACTAAAAATAAAATCACCAAAGATATCAAATTTATAGATTTAAATGAAAGAAATGCAATAAACAAAATATGTATGTTTATAGAAAAATCATATCTTGTATTGTTTTTTTTTCTATTGATTTTTGTAGGAAATAACTGCTTTAGTCAGGAACTAAAAAAATCTGACAAACTGCCGGCATGTTCCCTACTTCTTGTATTTGGTTGAAACAAGAGAAACAAGCAATTATCATAGTATTGCAAGCAATCCATAAGTCCCCTACCGGTTAGAACCCCAGCAACATTCTGATGGGCCATTGGCCATTCAATTTTACCAGTGAATGAATGACATGAATGAATTTAAATCTTTTGAGTTGTAAGTTTGTCTATATCACAGTAATGTGTTCAGTTTCCCTGCCTAGTAAGGAAATTATGTTTATACAACCTTGTCATATTATTACGATGTGGGATTTTAAAGTAAATCCTATAAGGAATGAAGAAGTTGGAGTGAAAAATACCAATTTCCCGAAAAAAAATCTAAGTTCAAGGGGGACATAATTCGGGAAATAGTCTTGCTAGAGTATTTAACCTTCTCAAAAATGTTGAGTGATAATAAGAAACATATATATGAAGTTTGAAGTAGATACATGAGGAAATAAAGAAGTTATTTAAAAAAGACAACATTTTTTTCATAAAAATTCTAAGTTCAAGGGAGGTAAAACTGATAATTTTTGTGCTAGAGTTGTAAACCTTGTCACTTATGATGTGGTTGATGACCAGAAACTTATATTTAAATATTGATGTAAACACCTTAAGAAATAAAGAACTTATAGTGAAAAAGCTGAAAAAATTAAATCAGAAATCTTGAAATTCAGACTATTTGTTGCCATAGCAACCAGAATTTTCAACATAGGAAGAAAAGAAAAAGATGTGCATAATCTCCAGACTGCCATCCACCCATATTTCAAGTTTCATAAAAATATTTTCAGTACTTTCTGCGTTATCGCGGGATCCAGTTTTGTGGACGGACGGACTGACAGACAGATGGACAGACAGACGGACGGAGGGTAAACCTAAAGTCCCCTCCGGTTAAACCGGTAGGGGACTAATAATTCAGAAAACATCAAGGTCAAGGTAAGAGATATAGATCTTGGTTAATGATCTACAATTATGTCTCTAAACAATAATACATAATAATAATAATAATAATACATGTGCAAAGTATCAATTGAATACCTTCAGCATTTGTTGCGGTGAACTACTGCAAGCAAAGGCTAAATGAAATGTACCTCCATTTGAAGAGTGAGTAGCATGAATGAGCATATTTAAATACCATAGTCAGTCGAACAAAGAACAAACTGACACATTTCAATCCTTTTCTATGCATTTTTACACCATTTATCTAGACAAAAATTTATCAACCAAAATGTTTTAAACAAAGCATTTTATACATACATGTAAAAACTAAGATTCATTTCATGAATTTAAGTTTAACAAATTTTGGATTAAAACTGTGATAATTACCTGTATCCTTTCAACAGCACGACCTGGTTCTAATGGCATCATCCCTCGTGGAACATCCACATACTCGTCAGCATATTTCTTTCCTCCCCCTCCAAACAGAAATTTTAGAGCTACTGGACCAGCAGCCAGAAATATTATGGCAGCTATAACAAGCTTGAGTAGTGTGACTGTGTTGCGTCTCATCTTGATTGTCTGTCCTGAAAGTTTATATTTTGATTGATCTTAAACAGTATCTAATCACAGAGCTGTATTCAAATGGAGAGGAAATTATGATGTCGTTCACTAAAATCTCTATTAGGGATGCCACATTTTGACTGACCCTTAAATACAACTTCTATAAGAAATATGATGAGGATACAGTAAAGTAAGTCACTCATGAAATTAATTAATATACTAATAATTCTCATGCAGCAGATGTCTATTTATCCTCAAGGACCATTTGGTCCAATAGAATATTGAATCAAACTTATATCAACACAATGAACAGTAATTTTATTGCATACAATTGATGCAGAATGATATAGGCCAGTCTTCCCAATTTATAAAACTGTTGAAAATTCCAAATTTTATCATGAGAATTTTCAAAAGAGGATTTTCCCAATCAATTCAACTATTTTTAGTCACATTTTAGAAGCACAAATATCATATTTAATAATTTAATGCCATCTGACAGTGAGTTTTTCACCTTATGCATGCACATGGTATGTTCTTACCAAGAGCAAAAAGAATCACTGATGAAATATATAATTCTTACCTTAAAACAAATACATTATCTTCAATATGAGAGTGATCTTGGTTAACCAAATACATTTATTATTATAAATATAGTTTGATCATTACAGTAAATTGTTGTTAATTTAAATTTTCACTACTGCAGTATAAGTTATAACAACCACTGTCATACCATTTTTTAAAAACAGCAGCAAATGAGCTATGGTGTGTATTCTTGCTATCAGCCTATCATAAACTAAATTTAATCATTGTCTACTTATACAAATAAGAGGGCCATGATGGCCCTGAAATCGCTCACCTGTATATAGGCCCCTGGCCCCGTATTCACAAAGAAAAGATCAGGTTCAGGATCAAGTGATCCTGATTTTATTTTCATTGTTTTATGTTACTAAAATTTATTGTGATTTGCTAGAATTAAATAATAATTATTCAAAATGTAAAAAATTGCCGATTTGAAAAGAAATCAAACTGTTTTGGGATAAAATTAGAAAATAACAACACAAATACAAAAATATTTGGATCAAAATAAGGATCAGTTTTAGGATCAGGATCAATATTTGGATCAACTGTAAAATGCCCGTATCTTGTAAAAATAACAATAAATTTATTCTAAAATTTCATTAATTTGCTATTGCAAGTCCAGTTTTATCAAATTAATATTAGATATTTAATATATGAGAATAAAAAGTGAAGAATATTAGAGTTTTTCAATTTGATCCTGATCTTGATCCTGATCCTGAAATCTTTGTGAACACGGGGCCTGGGCTAAGGCCAATTTTAAACCAGGGGCTTTTATTTGAACAAACTTGGTAGACACCCATTAGAAGATGTTTCATGATAAATATCTAAGCTCTAGCCCTTTGGGGTTTTTATAAGAAGATTTTTTAAGTTTTAACTATATATATATATAATGACCCCCCCCCCCCTTCGCAGGGGCCAATTTTGATCCCAGGGCTTTTATTTGAACAAACTTGGTAGACACTCACTAGAAGAAAATTCATGCTCTTTGGGTTTTTTATAAGAAGATTTTTAAGTTTTTAAGGAAAATCAATGACCCCCGGGACGAGGCCAATTTTGACCCAAGGGCATTTATTTGAACAAGCTTTGTAGACACTGACTAGATGATGTTTCGTGCCAAATATTTAAGCTCTAGCTCTTACAGTTTTCTAAAAGAAGATATTTTAAGTTTTTTCTTTCAGTTGCCATGGCAACCAGAGTTCTAGAGTTCTGCTTGGAAATAAATTCTTTGAACAATTTTTAAAGTTGACTACAAAAGAAACATTCCTGTGAAGTTTGGATGAAATTGGCTTAGCGGTTTATGAGGAGATGTCGTTTAAAGTAAAAGTTTACGGACAGACGACGGACGAAAAGCGTTCAAAAAAGCTCACCATGCAACTTTGTGACAGGTGATCTAAAAATCACCACAATTTAAAGTCATTTTTTAAAAATTTATATGGAGTGATGATTATCATTATGAAATATTACCTAAGGGGTCACATACTCTTCTATATCTATTTCCAGGTAGACATGGTCATAAAACAATAATTAGTCAATCTAATGTAATTAGCCTAAAATGTACCTTAAGTTAACATACTGCGTTTTCTTATAATATATCTTTGAGAATTATATCTCAACCTCTGCTTGCTCAATTTCATCACAGAGACGTCAAATATTTTTGTTTAAACGAAAAATTTACTCTTATCTTAAATGTGAGTAACAATAAGTTGGTAAGAAGATTAGCTTGACGAAAATGTCAGCGTTGACAAAAGCTGATAAGACATTTTAAGTGGATTGTTTACATCATTGAAGTGTTACCCCACCCAGTAAATACACACTGGATTTGGTTAGTAGCCTTATATTTTCACAGATAACTTTTCGGCATTTTGATAAATTGAATATAAAAACGTTCGAAATAAATATTAAAATATCAATTAAAACAAAAATGCAGTATTAAGCTTCATTTATCTTGACACAAAATGACAAACATAGAAAGTATACTCACTTTAATTTCCACGTCTACAACTCAACGTCCATGTTGACGTGACCCCAGGTCAATTATACCACTAATATCTGAACAATACCGTAATATACCGTACCGTTTTCAAAAATATTACGTACGGTACGTTACGGTACTTAAATGTTTCAGAACTACCAGTACAGAAACATTCCATGCCACCATTATGTGATCACAGATAATATGTTATATATTTCTTCTTCTTTCTTTTTCAGAATAAAGGGCCGGGATCCTAATGGAAAATAAGAGGCTCTGCAATGGTGATTATGAGTTAGTTGCACTAAGAATATGAAAGATACCTTACAAAACACTTTATCTAGGTAAAAGTCGTGAAAATGTTTACAACTTAAAACTACTTAAACCTGTTAAACTATTTAAAAGCTTCATATAATCTATGTGAGAACAGTGGGCTTTCCTCAAGGTACCCCATGGTGATGGTAGATGCTGATTTATGGTTCCAGTCAACAAATGTTTTTTGGAAAGAAGGTGTTAACACCATTGATCTCACCGTGTATGCATAATTTTGTATGTGGGTTGCTGCTTGGGTACTCATTTAATTTTCAGATTACTTTTCCATTTCTTGTAGGTCTAGACCAATAACTAGTGTGCAAAATTTCAGATTACTTGCACACCCCATTTTTCCAGAATAATTATACTACTTGTGAAAAATGACCTAAAAAGGCTAAAATTGCAATGCTTTTCACTCAAATCCAAAAAATACAATTTTCAATTTATTTCCAAGTACATTTCTTAATAAACTTTTGCCTATCTTTCTGTTTTAAGTGCCACATTAGATCTATGCAAGAAATTCAATCTATATATTTTGGGGCTTTGGACCTTTAGTGGAGTTCCTTTAAAATGGTATATAAACACTAAAAGCAAATCTTGCAGTTTGTGTTAGTACCTTTTCAAGTGTATATATCTGTGTATGTAAATGGGAATCCCATTCTGTGTCTGCATAATTAAGCTCCCTTAACTGTCTGGGTGCAGTATTTCAGGTCCCCTTAAAAGACTCAAGTGTCTCGTAACCCTTTGATGCCACATTCTGAGAGTATTTGACCCAAGATAGGTTGTTTGTAATAGTAACACTTTGCTGTATTTGCTGTGGTCTACAACTTGTTGCTTTCTATTATGAAGGAAGGAAGAAACCAATGTGGTTGAGTTTTTAGAGGAGCCTGGAATGAGGAACCTTGTCAAATGCTTTCTCAAAATCTATAAGTCTTGCAGAAAGTTTCTGGGTTATCCTATAATTGATGATAAGTAGTAACTTTGCAGGAATGACATTTAGTGATGATTTACATGGCTTCTTTGGTTGAGATTTAAACCTTATTATTAAAATCATGTCTACAGTATAAAGCATGTTCATAGACATAGAATTACAGTAACATTTCAGCTTTCAAGACAGAGAAGGATTTTGGTTTTCCATTGTGTTTTGTACACATAATTTAACTGGATACATTCTTCACAGAGACTGAGACAATTTATTATAAAGTCACACATAGAAATGAACACAGAGCCACTTTCCATCTTTAATAACGGGATTAAGACCTTAGGTGCCTTTCTGTGCATTATTTCTGGAAGGCACACAATACAAGATGAAACATGTCCACAAACCTTTCATTAGCTGGCAGGACTACTACCCAACTTGAAAGAATCCAAAGTTAGTAGCCTAAATCTCTCAGTCATTGAGGCCCCTTCTCACTGAAAACATTTCTTTAATACTCTTCACTACTTACTTCACTACTCTGATATTTGCAATGAACATTTCCACTATCAAAACAAGGTAAGTCTGTTACTTAAATATAACAGGGTAAGTATTTAAAAGCAATACCTTATTAACACCAGTATCATTATAAACAAAAAGAAATACTCAACAACATCAGGAAATAAAACTTTTTTTATTACAGTTATCTTAATTTCAAAAGCTATAAAACTGGTCTATGCCATACAACAAGTAAAATGCTTATACAATATTGAAATGGATACATATCAAATGTATACTAACAAAGGATTTTTGTTTATATCGAATAAATTATATATTTCTAATTGAAGCTATAGGCAACTGATAAACTCTAGACAAAATGAAGTATATACAAGGCAGTAAATTTCACACTCTTCCATTCAAGGTATTTGGTTCACACCTTCTTTGCTTCAAAAAGTGAAGAGAAAAATCTTGCAAAAGTGTAGTTAATTAAAGTGGTAAAAAGTGAACCACATTAAAACTTTGCTATGATATTCCAGTAATTACCAGTAATTACAAAAATAGAAGATATCCCTCTACACCTTTGTATCGCTATGCACACCTGATAAGACCATAGGTGTAGGCCGACCTCTAGAGGGGTTTGAAGGAATATACATTAGTGCAATAAATATATTCAGGGCATCATTAGAAATTGCAGGTCATTTAACATTTAATTTTTATTTGCCTGGTTAAAGTACATGTATAGCCTCTGGCCTAAACAGTCTTAAGGAAGCTACCCTAATGAAATCTAATTATCAGTCATGAATAACTCAATATTCAATTTACCATGACTTTCTAGAACCTCACCCTGCAATTTCCTTCCCCAAACTTCCAAACCCATGATGAGTTATTATAACTGCATAATAATTTTAGCTAATGGTAGGTATATATCTTAAACATTATGGAATAACTTAAAATGTTTGTGTGTTACAGGCTGTAACTGTGTTATAGGTTGTAATTAACATCAATAACTTTCAGCTTGATTATGTAAGATAACATCTATAAATATGTAATGACTTTGCATAAATTATTAACATGATTTACCTAGTTTTGAAGACCATGTTTCAAAATCAAACTCTATAATTGGACAAAACAAAAATAACCAATTAAAAGCAAGACTAGTACAATTCATTAAGAGGCTCATTCAAACTGAGCCTGCAACATTTTCAAATTTGCTGTTTTGGACGTTCCTTAGGAATTCCTTTCTTGCTCTATTTTCTAATGTAACTTTAGTAATAATGGGATTTTAAAATAGCACAAAAATTAATGGAAAATGTGAAACTGAGCATTTTTGCATTTACAAGAAACATATTTGATAATGTATGTAGAAAAGTAGTATATATAAGTATGTAGTAAGGAATAATAAACAATATATAATACTTTCATTAATAAGATTGAAAAGTGTGATAGCGAATTTTATCTAAAACATGTAAAAGGTACAATCAAACTTTCAAAAACTGTACAACCACATTGTTTCCATGGCAATGGTCACATCTGAAGAGTTTTAACAAAAAGTGCCTTTGTCATTTGAGCCGCGTCACAACAAAACCAACATAGTGCGTTTGCGACCAGCATGGATCCAGACCAGCCTACGCATCCGCACAGGCTGATCTGGATCCATGCTTGTCGCAAACCCATTATGTTGGTTTTGTCGTGACGCGGCTCATTTAATATCCATTGACCAGAATTAAACATTTCCTAATAAATTTTTCAAGTACAAATTTAAGAATGTATATTTTGGACAAGAGCATAGCATTTTTACCAATATAGCTCTGTTCCATTTAATTAAGGAAAACAGAAAAAGAAATGAAAATATAAACAAAAATGAACACTTCAAACAAAAGTAAATAATTGATATGCAAGAGATGCAAACTAAGTGCATCTACTTTTGCTAATTTTAAAGTAAGTTACAAATTTTTTTGCAATGAGCCCTTGATTAATTTGAGTATCTTTTTGGAAGACCTTTTAATAACACTCTGTGCAAAGCCATACAGGCAAAAACAAAATTTAAACCATTTTTTACATAAAAACTCTGAAGTAATTATTATCTAATTTTATACGGCTGACAGCAGGCAGGGTGTTTTTTTTTTTTTAAGATTTGTAAACTGAAAAAAAATAAAACAGTCTAAACATAATCGTTAACCTGTATGCATAAGTGTTATAACAAATCAAATACATGTATAAAGGTTACATTATCTTCATTCTGAAAAAAAAAGATATAATAACAAAAAGCACCAAAATAAAACAATTATATGATAAAAGAAATGTATATATAATACATGTATATAATAATTGTATTATATAAGTACCTTGCCATTGGATTTGATGAATTAAATGTGATAGAACAATATAAAGAAAACCTGAATTTTCAAACATGATAGTACGATAAAATTATACATAAATCAGCAGTTATACATCTAAATATAGTAACATACATAAACGATACACACCTATATATAGTAACATACATAAACAATTAATAAGTAATTGTTGTTTATCCTGGTGTATTTTAAGATGTTTTGCAGCAAATTAAAGAATAAAAATGCATCATAAATGTGGTTTAATAATTAACACCTATATATCATCATACCATTAACAATAACAAAACTGGCATTTTTTTTCCCCTCCCAGCTTCACTTATATACAAAAGGATCAACGCATATAACTGTTTTAATTTCAAAACAAAAATTTAAAGAATTAAAAGCAGATGAAGAAGTGTAATAAAGTAGTGCTGGTTTTCAGTAACAATTCTTTACAAAATCAGATAAACAAAATAAACAATGTTTAGATATGGCACATTGTATTAAACATAAGCTGCAGTACATTTTGTAGTAAGTGTCAGAATCTTTTCTGAAGCGTGTTGAAATCCATAACATTTAGAATGCCCACTTCGAATTTAAATGAAGTTCAAATCTTTATATCGTTATATAAAATTATAGCTTTATTAAGAAATAATCAGATTGCGATGGTTTCAGATTTCTATTATACATGTAAGTGCAGATAGCATGATTAAGGTTACTTGAATAAATATACTTAATTAATTGGAGAAATAATTTTTTATTTTATTTTTTGTTTTTCAATATAAAAATTCTCTATACACCATTACTTTAAATTTTGTTGCTGCAATGCAAGACAATTGTAACAGAGTATAAATAATAAATGTTAAAACTTCAGTCAACTATATTCTTATTGCTTTACTATATAGTCAATACAACACAACATTTTTATAAAACTTGTGCAAATATTTCCGCCAAAAAAGTTTTACTCATTTTAATTTCTTTATACTGTGAAACATTATAATGTAACCAAAATATATTTTCTGTTCTGTTTCTGTGAACTGTTGATAACATTTCTCCAACCTTAACAACAGTAAATAGGAAGAAACAAAAAGACTTTCAAAAGATATAAAAATCTTAATAGAATGAAATGAATTCCATTAGGAACAGGGCAACAAGAACAAACTGTAGATTAAAGGAAATAGTTCCATATTATTACTCCAGACATGAAAAGTTGCAATATTTTTATGTCTTAAATGACAAATTAGGCACTATTTTCAAGGCCACAAAATTATAAATGCATATATATTAGTTATAACATCTGCTGATAACAAATTAACACCACAACAAAGTATGCTTATGCACAAATAACATAGAAAATCATTCTTTATATGCACAAATAACATAAAAAATCATTCTTTATATATTTCAGTTGTCACATGTATGAAAGTATAGCTGTATTAACTGTGTGTCAACTTTAACAGCATCCGTTACATCTCATACTGATAATATTACATATTTTTTATGATATACTGTTATACAGAGCAAAGAATGTGGAGAGAAGCATAAAATGAATATAAAATATACCAGATTTTAACTGTATGTTAATTATATTCTCTACTCTTACATAGCACCATCCAGCAACTTTCTACAGTTTACAAAAAAATCAGACTTTCCTCCTCTTATATACAAGGCTGATTCATTTCATATCCAACAAAACTCACCGATCATTTAAAATCATAACCTATTCAACAATACTAGAGCTATATAAGGCAAATCCAAAAAGAAATCATTATGTAGTAATGTTTAACGAACACATTCAAGAAAACCAACTGTTGTGATTTTTTTTTTAATAAACTTAATTTCATCTGTAGAATCAGATGTTCCTTAACAATATCATCAATGCATATGAATTTTTATCGATACATAATTTTCGATTTAAGTTTTTCATAATTTTTAACAAAGTTTTTTTAACTGGCATGTTTCATCTTTTCTAAGATGGGTATGATCATGTCGAAGCGAGGACGTTTTCCTGGGTCTTCGTTCATACAGATCTTGAGTAGACGTAGTATATGTGATGAGATTCCTGGGGGTATTGTGATACGTAGACCTTCCAAGGCAACCTGCGTGTTATAAATTGTTGTTAATAATTTACATTCTATACATGTATTGCAGATTTAAAACAAAGTTAAGAGAGAATATTGCATTTGTGTGTGCTTTTTGACTGGTGGTATCGCTCAAGCTTTTACTGTAACATTCTTTCCAGGGAACCAAAACAGGAAATCTGAAACTTTACTTGATCATTAACATTAATACAGATTATCAAAATTGCATACTTGCAAAATCTTCCTTCAATTACATAACTTTTGTAAAATGCATACAGAAAATCTACATAAACCCAAAATAAATCTTTTTTCTTAATTATTGGGTGGATGAATTAAAATAAATACTAGGGATGTCTGAAAAGTTTTGACATAGGGCTTTCATTAAGTTGCAAAATTTGGAAGTCAGATACTGCAAAATGTTTCCCATTGGAAGTCATATTATATATTATGTATAGAAGGAAAAACATTACATTTTGAAAGTCAAAATCAAGGAGTAAATGACTCCCAAACTTTCACTAACGGAAGCCCTGTTGATGCTTATCAATTATTTTTTCAACAATACATTTAAATCAAATCAAAATATATATATAAATTACCTTCATGCCAATTTCCATAGGAGTAAGGTCAGAGAAAGGCACTTCTCTAGTTTCCAGCTCAAACAACATGATAGCAAAACTCCACATGTCAGCGGCTCTCAGGTTTATATCCTCAGGTTTCTTCTGTAACGCTGTATGTATATGTATGATATAATCAGTAAGTAATATTGAACAATTCACATGCTGGAAGTAACTATGACAGACCAACTATGAAGCCGGAACTTGGGGTCTCAGTACTATAATACAATGTATACTCAATTTTCAAATATTACATATCAGAAAAGACAGTTTAAATGAAAACAGGATATGAACTTTCCTTCAAACTATTAATATTCTACTTAAATCTTCATCAACTAAGCAACATAAGCATCAATGTTATCAAATTTTAAGTAAATGGAAAACTACTAACATATCATAATATATAATGGAAGTTTTGTGATTTTTAAATACGTGTAATACTACATTGTATTACATGAATAGTAAATAAGTCAAATTTTTTTTTTTAAAAAGTGACAAATATTATATAATGGAAGTGTGAAAGTGTAGATAAAATTTATGAAAACTATCACAAACCTTCCGGTGCCACCCAACCAGGGTAGTATAACTTTCCTTTTTCATGAAACGAAAATCTGTAATCTGCCATGTTAATTCTGGCTGTCAAATCTTCATCAATCTATGAGATAAAATCAGTAATTAATAAATTACTAGAATAATCCACAAAGCATACATTATACAAATATTCCCACAAGTCTTATACACTACTAAATTGAGAAGGGAATCAAAAGGTTTGAAACCTGTTTGACAAAAATATTCATTTGAACCTTAAATGAATATATGATACATATTAAATAGTTTGTTATAGAAAGCAAACTATAGTTATAGTGACTCTGCATAGAACTTTGGATGTGTCAAAAATCACTGACTGTAATGCATATGGTTGAAAAAATTAAACTTTTGAAAAAAAAAGAAAGAAAACAGATCAAACCTTGTTCAAATTTGAAGAGTATATTGCATAAAATTTACCCATTAATATGCACTGATGTAACCAAACAATTTGTATACATGTATTTTTATTATAAGTATCTGTAAAACTAAAATGGCCCTTCAGTTTATAGATGTCCAAACCCATTGAACTGACAGTTCAAAATATTATATCTGGATACATAATCATAGCTTCAATATCTGTATTCAAGTTCATTACCTATCAATATTAATATTAAGAAGTGAGAAGGAGGTTTTGTGATGGGTAACAACAATGTTAATACAGTATGGTGACACTCCAGATTTTTGGGAAGAAATTACTGCACACACAAGAGGGTAAAATCACCAACCTTCAACAACTTAGATAGAAAACTTCCTTTCATAAAAGGAGGGAAACAAAACTATATTTCATTTCAATTTTGACAATCTGTTTTTTGTGGGTTTTTTTTCATAAGGACTAACACTTAAAAATATTTTGTCATATAAAAACTGAATTATTATACAATCTTTTCATAAAAACATCAAAATATTCAACACTTTTATGAATAATTAAAAGACTCTTTTTTCTAATTATCAGACCTATACTTTCTAATTGCTATGTACTTTGTAACTAAATACATCAACACAAAATATAACACTATCAAAAATCAAATCAAACCTAAAAACTAAACAATGAAAAGCAAACAGAGGTTAAGCAATGATGAAGGTTCATTTCAATTTAATTAATTTGTAAGATGAACCATATAAACCCAAAACAAGAGTACCCCCTTTACTCATACTGCTATTTGATCAAATAGTTTTGGGTTGGGTTTAATACAAACATATTCATGTATTATAAACATTATATGGGTACCTTCCTGCATTACTGACAAAGGCAGAATTTTAGATGCATTTCCTTGCATTATTTCAAGCACAAGTGATGTATTGAGTGCAACCACTGACCTCCTTTACAACAAATGGAGTTTTCATCACATGGAAGAATTCCAAGTCCGTCAAAAATTTACAACAATTAGGGAAGTAAATGACCATAATCACAAGGGCACAGATGTGATATTACTTGCTAAATTCAGATATACATGTAAGATAAGTTATATAACTTATCAAATTCTGATAACTTATATAGTTTTATTTGTTTCCAATTAAATAAACTGTAATCTGAATGAACCATTCATTGCATAACCTCAAAATTCTACAGCTATATCTGTATATAAAAATAATTGAAAGAAACTAAATTTGTTTTCAAAAATAATCAAAAGATAAAAAATATCATCATAATTCAGGTAGCATGTACAGAACAGTGTTAGTTTAAATTTCAAGATAGTTATTTCAACGCTTCTTTCACACTATAAGCTGGAACAAGGGGCCCACACATTTACACACACTCTGTAGCTACATGTATATACTCCTATAATGCTACACATTCTCAATGATAACACTAGGATTACTGTGTCTTGTCTAAATCATGTTTCCTAAAAAATGTTATCCGGAACTCAGCAAATATGGAACTTTCCCATCAAACCCGGAGTAGTCGAAATATTTTGATATGTTAAGCTAGATTCTGATATATTTTTGTTCTGGGTCAAAATCTCACTTCAACAAGCAAATTCGTTGAATTTATATCCCCCGCCGAGTACTGGTTATTATTAACACAACAACTGAAGACATAAGGCTATGCAACAGACCAGAACCATTTGATCAACTTTGGCAGGGGACCACCCTAGGATCATTCCTGTAAAGTTTGGTTGCTGTGCAGTCATTTGTTTCTGAGGAGATGTTGTTTAAAGAAATTGCTGACGACGCATGACGACGGACGGTGGGGATCACAATAGCTCACCTAGATGTAAAAACATCTTAATCTCCAGACTTCATTATTCGTAATTTAGTGATGTTGATCATTATTCCTGTAAAGTTGGTTGATTCTAACTCAAGCACTCAAGGATCAAATAACAACATAATGAAACAGTTTTTACTAAGTCAAGGGAAATAACTCTACAAATACTGGATAAATCCACAAGCGAAACCCCAGGAACAAACTAAATATGCTGAGCAACTTTCCAATAAGGTTAAATGACTCTATGTCAAATCCTTTTTGAGTTACATGCGACACATGTTGAAAATTGCAAACATTTTCTAAGTCAAGGGCAATAACTCTAAAAATACTAAATAAATCCAGACGAAAATACCCAGGTGCACAACTACACATGCTGATCAACATTCCTGTAAAGTATCATGACTTTAGGTCAAATACTTTTTGAGTTACATGTGACACAAGTTGAAAATTGCAAAATTTTACTAAGTCAAGGGCAATAACTCTAAAAATAGTAAAAATATCCGGACGAAAATACCCAGGTGCACAACTACACATACTGATCAACATTCCTGTAAAGTTTCATGACTCTAGGTCAAACACTTTTTGAGTTACATGTGACACAAGTTGAAAATTACAAAATTTTACTAAGTCAAGGGCAATAACTCTAAAAATGCTAAAAATATCCAGATGAAAATACCCAGGTACACAACTACACATACTGATCAACATTCCTGTAAAGTTTCATGACTCTAGGTCAAATACTTTTTGAGTTGCATGCGACACAAGTTGAAAATTACAAAATTTTACTAAGTCAAGGACAATAACTCTAAAAATACTAAAAATATCCAGAAGAAAATACCCAGGTGCACAACTTCACATGCTGATGAACATTCCCATAAAGTTTCGTTGAATTCCAGCCATTAGTTGCAGAGAACTACTCCGGAAACGAAATTCGGACGTTTTACTAAGTCAAGGGCAATAACTCTAAAAATACTAAAAATATCCAGACGAAAATACCCAGGTGCACAACTTCACATGCTGATCAACATTCCCATAAAGTTTCGTTGAATTCCAGCCATTAGTTGCAGAGAACTACTCCGGAAACGAAATTCGGACGGACGGATGGACGGACGGACGGACGGACGGACGGAAGGACGGACGGACAACGCCAAAACTATATCCCCCTCCCGATTACATCGGCGGGGGATAAAAAGATATTGCCAATACACAAAATAGCATAATATCTCAAAGTGCGTAGTAGAATTAGTTCGACTTATCCAGGGGGACAAACTTCATTAAAGCTTCACATATGAACTATCACAATATAGAGATTGACACATTGCGTTTAAAATATATTTACCAAGTTGTAACTATTGTTGTTTGTACCCATTTAATAAGAAAACCCAGATTTTCCAATTTCCGGTGTTTCTCTATACGTTAATTGACATAGAAACCAGTTTGTATGGCATTCTAAGTCATATCTATACAGAGATAGGGACATATAGAACCTAGCTACTTTTGTGGTAAAAATGATAAATGAACATGAAATATGTACATCAAAATTAACATAGGCACATGTATATCTACAGAATATCAGAAAAAGAACAATCTTAATATTCTTAACAATAAAATAATAATTTTAACCTTAAATTTTAGATCGCAAATTATGGTATCCTTAAATGGATTTAACACAATACAGGATTGGAGCAGTACCTATAGACGCAGAAATCATGATCACAAAATAGACAAATATTGGGTTTTTTGCCAATTCTGACATTTTTCATTCATTATTGTATATAAATCGGTGTGAAAAGATGAATTAGATGTTTTAAAGTTCATTCCGTTGGGTGAAACGGCGAGTTTTAGCATTTAATCATTCAAGCGCCTTGTCTGGTAGCTCTATATTACTGAATTCAGTATTTAGTGTGGTGCTCCAATTCTTTTTTTAGTCTTATGATAATGTGGAATGATTAATTCATTCAATTATATCTGAAGAACAATTTATCATAATAATGATATTTGAATGACAATTTGTTAAATAATGACACCGAGGGAATTTTTTTTATCAAAATGAGGATGATGGCAAGACAAGTTGTAATTATGATGATAACAGATTGACAAAATTGTCATAACAAAGATACTGGAATGACAAATTGTCATAATGATGATAATGGAATGACTGTTTCTCTTTAAATGATACTGAAATGACAGTTAATCATTAAGATAACAACATAAAAATTTATCATTATGACAATAACTGCATGACAAATTCTTAACATAATGATAATAATGAAATGACAGTTTCAAAACAAAATGATAATGAGATTAGTTTATCATATAAGTAATTATATGATAGGTTATCATAACAGTTTATTAACAATGTGATAATGATAACAAAGTCACATATTTAACATTCAAGGGTAACAGGATGCGTAAAATCATTCCATTCCATTTTTACCCCAGCAATTGTCCCATCAGGGGACCTATATTTTGGATCATCAATGTTGATTTTAGCCAGGTCCTCATCAATCTAGAAGGTAATTTATCTGAAAACTTAGCTTTACATCATAAACTTATATTTCATTCTGATGACAAACCAAACATAATTATTTTATATGAAACAAATTTCCAAATTATAAAGGAAACAATACTGTTTATCTGATAATTCTATCTTATTTCATTCACTTCAAACTTCAAAGAAAATCATGAAAAGGAAATGTACAGTATTAAGTAGTTTGATATATATAATATTAAGAGTTTGAATCATACTAAATGATACTATGCGAAATAAAATTTCTTTGTTATTCTGTGGCCTTACATCTATCTAATACATCTCAAATGTTGCAAAAACATCTTTCATCACAGCCCGAAAAATGTTACCTCCCCTTTAAAGTAATATATCTATTTCGAAATATCAATTTTACCAAAGTCAACCATGGATCATACTATTATCACTCATACTTAAGCTTATTTCAAAATATAATTATTTTAACTAAAACATATTTGTCTCCAGCATGTAGTGTTTTACATATCACTATTAAGATTTGAATTTCTTTATCAACTTATTTCTGTATATATAAGACTAACACCACAAAATGTTAGCGTACCATAAACTAACGAATAATATGCGGAACTGAAATTAATGTGTCATATAACTTAACCCATAGCTTGCTGGAACCAAAAGTGATTAGTCTTTGCCGCCAGTATACAGCCAGGCCAGCCTGCACATCTGTACATTCTAGGCTAGCCTTACACTGTTGGCTAATCTTTTCATCCCTAAAACTGATAATGAACAGTTCCAAAAATTTAAATTGGACAGATTCATTTAAGAAATTCAGCAAATTAAAGGTTTTTTAAATGAAATGTTGACTTACCATAACGTGTTTGCTAGTAAGTATAAGGTTAGGTATCATAGGTTCCATTGAATGTAGAAACTCCATACCACGTGCTATATCAATCGCAAACCTTAGAGCTTGATTCTGATCAACAACTATACCTGTAACAATATAACAGCATTACATTATAAATACACAAGTACTCATATTCTGTATTTCTGTACTGTAAAGTTCGCAATTACTTGCCAAACAGTAATTGCCAAACAATGGGGTAAATACTGGTACAAAATTGAAATAATTTCATAATAGCTGTTAGTGGAAACAAAAATCTTGATAAATTTAATACTGGATAGTGAAGAATGATAAAACCAAGAAAAATGAATCTATTTCAGTATAGATTAACAAGAAATTTTTTTAAATCCAAATCTTGCACATCATATAACTTGCATATATAAATGCGAGAGTTACATAAAAAGTATATTTTACATAAAGAAAAGGGAGACAATCACAATCTGGACAAAGACATCAGCTCTCCTTATACAAAAAGTACTTAGTATAAGTTAATAATAAGATAGTGTTCAAACTGGTGTAAACCTTACAATATAACTCTACGTGAGCAATTTTGCTCAGTAAGATGATAGGCCTTGATTAGGAATCACCCCATCCAAGGTGATGAACCTTTCATACATGAAAGCAATTCATAAGACAGTTGTCTTAAGGAGACAAGGGCTGCCTGGCATTTTGATTGAAAGAACACTCTCAATAATTCATCAATCAGTATTGTCATGAAAGACCTATGTCTTTTCAATTTGTACCTTGACAGTTGACATACATGTCAAAGATATTTTTATGAGTATGACTATCCAAAAACTAGAATAATTTAGGGTCCTTGGAGAAAAAACGTATTTCCATAATTGAAGGCCAAGGCTTGAGCAAAGTTTCCTTTAAATAATATCTGACTTCATGTATAAAGATAGCAAAATGTATTATTAAACCAATATTACCAGTTTCTCCATGTAGAACATTGAACAGTGAACCATATGGCATAAACTGTGAGATGACAACAAGGTTAGGTGGTTGATTGCAACATGCCAGTACTGGTAATATATTCTGATGGTTGAAGATTCTGAAAATAAAATACAATGATGAAAATAAAATACAATGATTTTTTTAAAAAATATTTAATGCGCTTTAATTCAATTTAAATCTGTTGAGCAATTTCTTTTACCTAATGGTGGCATGGTCCAGTGGTTAGCATGTCAGACTTGTAATCTAAGGATAGTTTTTTGTGGGTTCAATTTTGTGTGGGTTCAAACCCTGTCATGCCCTGACAGGGTTTGAACCCACACAAAATTGAACCCACAAAAAACTATCTAACCATTGTTTCTTTCAGCAAGAAACTTAATACTCATTGCTCAGTACTAGTTAGTTCCAGGAATGGACTCAAAATGAGTTTATAAGCTGATAGCTTTCTACACAATCAAACTAGAATCAATTCTTTATAAACTTATCTCCTAAATGAAACTCTTATTCTTAATACATTGTATATAATATGCCTTGATTTTCTTTTATAATCAGAATTGCTATTAGTATTAATTAGATAATTACATATTTTGTTGATAGAGATGTTTGATTGAAAGTTGCACAAATTTTTTGCTACAATAATTATTAGCTTATAATAAAGATAAGTTAACCAAACAAAATATTAACTATGTTTAACTGTTAATATACATTAACTCTAATGATGAAAATCGCTTACCTTAATCTGGGGAACTCTTCTTGAAAATCTCTAGAGTTTCTGACAGTGCATTCTCTAAGATTAAGTACTTTCGCTACAATATCATTACCCTGCCACAGTCCCCTCCATACTTCCCCAGAATGGGTTGTCACCATGTGTGAGACCATTTTAAGTTGCGAAATATCTATACCTTGGTGTCGAGACAATAGGGCGTCCCGACTTCTAGTCTTATAACCCAGCCAGCTACGATCTTTAAACGGTATTTTTTGTAAATCTTGCCCAAGGGATGCTGCTCTTTCTACAATGTTAACAAAACACCAAAGTAAAATCCTATTGCAATATAAAAATAAAATGATCTGGATGCAACAATAGAAAGATTAAAAATTTACAAATATTTTGAGTTGTTTTTGTTTTTTTTATACATGTACTTATTTGGCAGCTACATGTGTATATTATTGTATATATAATTTTATGATTCATGAAATGCATAATAATATCTATGTTCATATTTTTTCCTAATTTGCTTTCATAATATACCATATTCAATCAATGAAATGGACTTATTGTTACTGGATTCCAATGTCAAACCCCTTACAATGATGAGCCAAAGAAAAAGAACTGCAACGTCCGTGATGATAAACAGCCAGATTGAGGATCAAAATTATATTTTTCAAACTTATTTATAGTTATACTAGTATGTTTTGTCAAATAATCATGTAAAACTAATGGTTTTAAATGATGTAAGACAACGAAATTGTGTTATCTTACAGGAGCCAGACCTGTTTAATTGACCCTTATTCCAATCCGAGTACATGTATTTACGTACTTGTATCAGCTTTCCTTTCGTACATAATTATTATCCTAAGAAAAGGTAATTTTCCTGCTAATTTGAAATTCTTAACAATTATAAACTGAATTTACATGTTTTTATCAATCTCATTAATATGACAGAGGGTAAAAGTAACCAACACAACAAAATTAGAATAAACTTAATGTTACAGCTGTTGTTAAAGCTTCTCAAACCAACTATGATTATAGCAAAGTTGAAAGTTTTATAATATATACATTTAACACTGCTTACATATCTCCATAATGCCACAAATTTCATTATTATTGTTTATACATCATATGCGATGTGATATACAAGTATTTTACTGAATGAATAGACAAAACTGAACAGAATGATTAATGTCCAATTTGAAGAAAGCATAAGTACTGTACCTTTTAGCATTTTGGCAAGAAATGGTTTGGCTTTTTCTAGGGGAGTTTCATCAAACTTGTTGGCCATGGACACCATTGCTCCGTTATTGACAAGATCTTCAGCTACCTGGTCATGTCCCCAGAAACAAGCATAGTGTAGGGGAGTGTTTCCATGCTCATTTATAGCATTGATGTTTGCCTTGTTGTGAAACAGCTGAAAAAAAAAAAAAAAAATAATATTCCCAGTTCATTATCAATACAAAAAGACTGTCTATTGATCAGTTCATAGAAATTTAAAATTTAAATTAAAAGAAACGCTTTTTTCAATCATGCAAAAAATAGTAGTCAATGGTGAAAATTTTCATATTTATGGTACATTATGAAGTATTGTTTGTACATTTTATTAATTCCAAAAATATTAAAAGCTCTTAACTATGTATGGGGCCATAAGAGCTTGTTCTTTTCAAGCTCTTATGTATTGCGAATTGGTTCCCCAGTTAAGACATACAGAATTTCACCATGTTAAAATGTTATTGGTTTGAAATAAAAGTCCATTAACAACATGCATGTACATAGTGCATTGTTTTATTCTAATTTATATCTTACAAGCTGTACAAACTCTTGGGATTTATTCATACAGAAACACAATAGTCATAAAAACATCATAGTTTACCATAAGAGCAATATCTCTTCTACCATGACTACATGCTAAGTGTAAAGCTGTATCATCCCCCATGTTTGTAGCGTTAACTCTGGCACCCCTTTGTATAAGCATGTCACAAATGTTTGTGTAGCCCTCTTTTGCTGCCCAATGCAATAAACTAAATCTGTGGTCATCTCTACAATATAGAAAACAGTATTTTACAACATATTTTACACATAGACTGCAATATTTGTTTAAACGAATAGATACCAAACATTCTCAAATAAAATTATACTTACAAAATACTATATCAAATTATGCCTGTTTTTGTATTTAGCCTACCAGATAATGAAATTGAATTTGTGCTGAAGTTCACAGAGTGTTTGATAAAATAGTATAATAAGAAGTCTATCATATAGTTTACATGTATTGTCACACCACAATTTTCAAGCTTTTCTGGTATAGGAAGACATAATAGCTTAATTTATTCAACAAAAACAGTTTGACCTATTTTACAGACAGTTTTCTTCCTACTATTCGAAAAAGATATTGCCTATCCAAAATTATTTTGATTCTTCTCTTTGACAAGTATAATTGTGAGTCCCAGTGTGCATTGTTTCCAACACAGAAACACCACCAACATTATACATTGTATGTATAAGCTAGGTGGGTACATGTACATGTTGTAGCCTGGAACCTTGAGTGGTAAGACTCAAAGTTCAATTAAAACATATTACAAATGACAACCAATTAACTATTACAAACTAATATCAAATAACTTTATCTGACATTTCAAGTAAAGTTGTTAATGAACTGAGACACATTTTACAATTACCAGGTACCTTCAATTACATTATCTTGTAACATTTGACAATACAAAGGCATGGCAATACATTCTGAAAGCCAGAAGACAAAATTATATGTCAAAGTTTTATAGAACTTTTTTTTATCAACACAATTCTATCATTGTCAAGTGCACATTAATACAATTTTATCAACTGCATTTTTTCACGGCCACCCTTATTTCACGACACAAATAACCCATTATTCAACTTTTACATCAGGAGTAACCTTTGGTACAAAACTTCTATAAATTAAAACACTTTCAATGTAACATTTGTACAATGTTTGACTGTATATGCAAACTTGAAGCAAGCTGTAATGGTATATCATATTTTTGTTAAGCATGGCTCAGGAAAAAGTCATTTAACTCCAATTATATGGGATCATTTTACACATGGCTATTGATTCAAATCTTATGGAAATTTTTAAACAAACCAGTAGGGGTTCATAATCCCTGAATGAAAAAAGTATCAATCTCTATCATGTGACACCTGATATAAATGCAAAGGAAAACTGAAAATAAAAGTCACAATGTCTGGATTTCTGTAATTAAATAAAAAAAAATGCAATAATTGCAGTTAAATGCATTATATAATGCTTAATATGATTTTCTACAACAACAAACAACACTGTACAATCGCTTAAAATACTGCAGTCATTTAAATCAAAATATGACTTTATATGAAAAATAAAGTGAGTATATCATGATGTTTAAATAAATATTGTCAGGCCACAGAATTTGCTTGAAAATGCTAAAAGCGTAAATTTATGTTACATTTTTTTGTGCCCTAATAACTCAATTAGCTCTGACAAACTGAAAATATGTTTGCGGCTAAACTATACGATTCTCAATAGTATTACATCAGAAGTATTTTATAGGATAGGAAAATATGAAGTAACCTTGCCAATGTTGATAGCATTTAAAGAAACTCTAATTCCTGGAATTTTAATGAAGAACATCTAAAACAAGATTTTTTTGAGTCAGCAGCTTTTCAAAAATTCATACATGTATATACAATGAGTGCTGACAAAATATCTGCCACTGTGTATTGGCTAAACTTCACAGAGATAACAAATTCATCAAAAATTTAACAATCATGCATTCCTACAACTACCTGAGAATGCATTCTACTGTATTTATAGATTTCTGTGAGTGATTCTATTTTTAGATTTTCACAGAGAGAAAGAGTAAAGGTATATGCTTATATTTTGAGAGATAAAAACCTAACAGATGCCAGGAAGTGTATTACCACTGGCTGTGGGGAGAACTACATGCAATTAAAAATCTTACATTCTTCTTTATTAAGAGCATATAACTGATATTTCATGAATGTTTTATTTTCTTTATCTTTATCTTAGATATATATACAAAAAATAATATATGTAAAAAAGATAATCTTGAGCCAAGCTAGCGTTCAGTGATATTATCCAGTAAAATACGTAATATTAGAGCTAATCCTTTCATCTTACTCATTCCTAAAAGCTTTACAAATTTACACATGAAATACAAGGGATTATATAATTATCACCGAGTATATCTAGTAATGCAGGAATGTGCAAGTAACCCCAAAGTAATGCAAAATCTGTGCAATGCTATGGCCACAGTAAACGACCAATATATCTCATCCAAAATCAAATTAAAAGAAATGATTAAGTCGGCTGCTGCTACCACATTATACTTTAACCAGCACTACAAATATTTCCGGGAATATGTTTACTTTTTTAGATCATTTGTAAGAATGACAACCTGACTGCCGTTTTGAAGGTGACTCTTGTGTTTTGAACTTTCGTATTCAGTATACCTAATACATTTGTCAAACTACTATTCTCGTAAAACACTAGATTATAAAGAAATTAGATACTTTTTATAAGGTAACAAGTGTTGCTTCCGTACATCATTCACAATGGTCTCAGTCACATTTTATCTACTAATTTAAGTGTATTATGCCAACTGGTACACAGAACATCAAAAATATAAGACTTAGTATTTTTATATGCATAATCGAATTTTAATATTATGTCTATGAAACACACATGTCGCCATCAATATGCTAGTCAGGTAAATAATTCTCACAAATCAATGATCTTGAAAAATAAACACTTTCATGGCAATTTTTTTGTTGAGGTTTAAAATATAATGTCTCAACAGTCATATACATGTGCTATTTCATCCCCTTCACTTTGATGTTCAATAAAAAATTTGGTTTATTTACTTTCTGTGTTGCTTATTTCTGCCACAGAGTTACATTTTCTGCTTTACTTTTGCACAATTTCTGCATTATTTGCATATTTCTGCATTACTGGATATGCATGGTGATTATATCCTTTTTACAATTAACCCTAATTGCACATGTACATGTATATAATTTCATTTCTTTTCTCATGTATAAAACAATATTAAAGAAATCTTGATCAACATGTAAACAAAACAGATAAACAAAACAATAAAGCTTTGTTCAGTTGAATTTGACATGAATATTTAATATACTGCTTCAAACCTACTTCATATAATACACTAAGTACTAACAAATGATAATAGCTAGATGATAACTGAAACCACTGAATTTCCTGGGATAGTAAAAACATTCATATGTGAGTAGTGAGTCATCAAAGTGGAAATAAGTACATTCCATTATCGTGTAATAATAGTAACAATCAGTGAAGTTTTTTTTACTTGAAAAAATATACATATTTTGTATTCATAAATTAATAATATATAATAATTTGACAATTTTACTTGAGTACTTAACTTTGTGAAAACTTGTGGTAAACATGAAACTAGATCTATGCCTGTAGAATGAAAATTTTCATATTGCTCTAAAAATCTTTATTGAGTCCATTTGAATTAAATTATGCATAAATCCACCCAATATAGTTCTAAAAGTAAACGTTTTAAAACTTTCTCTAATAAGCCAACTCAATCTATGACCCTTTAAAATGTCCTGGCTAGTATAATATTAATTAATTGAATACCAGTGTAAAATGTGCATATTAACTTCATCATGACCATCTCTAACAAGGATTTTTAAGACATCTAAAACTTTACCCAAAATTGCCAGGAATGAAGATGATTCAGCAATTGGGCCAAAAAGGTAACTACCTGTAAACTGTATTAAATGAGCCAGATCAGATAACCCCTGAGATGTCAGTCTCCTATCTGACTCAGATAAACCAATAACATACTTATTACACTGATTAATGTTTTTCTTTTCTGTACACATAACAATGCTGATTTAGAGGCTTGAACAGGGATAAAAAAATAAGTTAATGATTTACTCTAAATTAAAATTGATATTATCATTACAAAAACTAGAATTGTGTCATCATGCCACGGATGCCCCCGCATGCAGCCAAAATTTCAGATGGTGCATTAATTATTTTTTTCATTTTAAGTTCAAAGCCCTTAAAACTTTTCAATGTTAACACAAACCATTTTCATACAATGTTCAAGGCACTGAAATTATTCAGTCTTAACCTTTTAAAAATAGTATATTGCATATTTGTAGCCAAAATAATGGTTAAAAGTATGAGTGCTGAAACTGAAAGTTCAAAATTTTTCCAATATTCAGGAAAGATAAGTTTGTCTCTAAAATCATTCAACCACAACCAAATTCAAACTTAAACTGCTTATTCCTAAGATGTATCTATATTATCTTCAAAGTGAAAGGGACATAAATCTGCCAAAAAAAATCATCAAACCAAATTCCAATTGACCTGCCCATTCCTTTGACATATCCATATGTCAAATTTAAGTTGAATATGTAACACTGTTGGGTAGATAATGAACAGAAACTGTAAATTTCATATTATTTTCAAAGTGAGAGGGGCATTACTCTGCCAAAAATCATTGAACCATGACCAAATTCCAACTTGGCCTGGGCATTTCAAAAACATATCCTTATGTCAAATTTGAGTTGAATGTGTTGTACCATTGGGGAGATAATAAACGGAAAATGAAAATTTCATATCATTTTCAAAGTAAAAGGGGCATAACTCTGACAAAAATCATCGAACCATGACCAAATTGGAACTTGATCTGTATTTTATCATGACATATCCATATGTCAATTTTGAGTTGAATGTGTGCAACCGTTACTAAGATAATGAACGGAAACTGATGATGACGGAATGACAGAATGACGGAAGGACGGAAGGATGGAACAGGGTAACACTATATGCCCCGGCCATTACATGGCGGGGGCATAAAAATGAATGTTCTATTGTGCAATTTAAAACTTTTGAATTAACAGACTGGAAAATAATTAATTTGCCTTAATTGAACAGCTTTTTTCATGTAGTCTGAATTATTATAGTGTTGTACTTACTCCAATTAGAATTTAACTATTTTAAATATATATTAATCCAGTAGTCATATCAAATCTGAGCAACATACAGAATCTGGTCATAAACAATTGGATGAGAAAACTGGCTTGTCCATAACATGGTATCATATTTGGTGACTAAGGACAGCAAACATTCAAAGACTAATAATTAGTTGAAGCAGTTTATTAACTTCATAGCTCAGAATGAGGTTACTTGGGCAGCTAGTCTCTTTAGCAAAAGAATTAATCAGTGTATCATATATTGCACTTATTTATGACAGTGAAGGGGGCCGAATATGAAAAATCTCCTGCAGGTAGGAAAATTTTATTTTTTTATGCAAAATATGTTTTTTTTATTAAATACTTACACACTCTGTTTAAAAGGTTAACTTTGAACACTTAGCTTTAACTAGGGAATGAAATTATACAGCAGCTATTGAGTATTACCATAAACTACCTAGTAATTTTTTTCACTAAAAGTTCTTTATTTTTGATACCACATTTTACATGTAGCTTACCAGTATTCAACTGATTACAAAACATTGCACACTGACTTTATTTAATTTTAAAGCAGTTTCTTCAGCAACATGTTCATTGAATAAAAGTGGTAGGGGTCAAAATGCAAAATAAACAAACTGTGCATTTTACTTGTAATAAAACTAGGAAATTTGAGGTTATTTGATATCGTCATTTATAGACAAGGTCTCAGAAGAACATGTTTCTGTTTTACACTGACAACATGTAGCAGGAACCTTTTTGGAATGATGTCTTATATGTGTCATTTCTAAATGATATCAGTAACTACATGTATAGGCCCTGCCAGTTCAAAGACAACCAAAAATTATCCTAGTTTGTTGAATCTTTGCACAAACATGCATAGTTTCTTATGCGTTTGAGTAAAGATATTGAATAATAAATACAGCTGTTACTAGTAATCCCAACTAAATATAGTACATCACATGTGCCTTTGCCATTTGATCATTAAAGACTTTTTGATTAAGACTTACATGTAACATAAAATGAAAACATAGTCCCGAGATTTAAATCAATATGGGGAATGCAATTAATATGGGTAATAAACTATCATAATCAACTTTCAAAAAGTCCTTAAGGAACCATTTTTTGGATATAAATTTGATAATATCTATGTTAATATAGGTTTTTAACCCTTTGAATGCCAGAAGCAGTTGAATTTAGAGACATTGTAACTCAGTAAGGCACCTGAGTTTCAAAATGGTCTGTCTACTCATCCTACAATCTGGCCCAAATGTGCTAGTCATCTAAAATATGTTTATTTTTGTTATTTTAATATGCAATATAATACAGAGTTTCAGATAATTTTTTGGCACTGGGGGTAATTACCCCCACTTTTCAGAATGTGGGGGTAAAGTTAGATAAACCGTAAATCTAAAGAGTACAATTAAATGAGTTTACTTTTTTTGCTGCATCCCAGGTTTATAACATTGAAATTAACACACCATAATGACTATTCTCTGATATTAAGGCTTCAGTCATAAGGCCTTTACCATTTTCTTAATTTTATTTAACACTGTTTACAACAAAAATCGGTGACAATTCATAAACAATAACGTTACAAATAATCACCTGTCAATTGCCGATTTCTGTTTATTTATTGCACATTCATTAGCCCATACAATGCCAGTTTTAAATTTATGACACAGTTATGTGCGCCCTTTTCACTTTAAATAATTATACAGTATGAAAAAATAGTTGACCAGTGTTATTTTTCGGGTATTAAACGGGAAAAAGAAACACAGTCAACTGTTAAACGGGAACGGAATCAGCTGTTTCGAAAATGAAAGTACACACGAAATACGCTTCTATTTACTACTGTTTAACTATTAAATTTTGACTTCAATTTGACAATTATAGTGCTCAGGAAATGTATCTAGTACATAGAGTCAGCAGGATACAAACTTTGAAAGGAATTGCAAAATCAAATTTATAGATCTATAACTTGTAAATATTAATAATATTAATATTTTGTCCTTAATTTTACAAAAAGTTGATATATTATACAACTCATGAACCCTTTCCAGACAGCCTTTTAAAAAACAAGGTAAACTTTATTATAATAGAATTAGTAATTGATGTAATACATGTACTAACACGGTGTCATATCATACAATACAATTGATGACATAACAATTTCATGTCCATTTGCCTATCTTATTTTTCTTCATTTACTTCCAGGGTAGTCTCAATATTCCGACTGCCAGACAGACTGATTTTACAAACTGATGATACATTTACATACAAACACCTGCACGAGGGGAAATAGTCAAAATATATTGACATGCTAAAGCTAGAATCTGAGATATTTTCATATTGGGGCAGAATTCGCTGTAGTAGTTTAACTTTCATACAATTACAGATTTTCACATTATATACAGATCTGTGATACAAATTTTGATAAATTTTTATACAACTTTGATAACCATATTTACCGCATTGCCAGATAAATAGCCAAAGCTGACTAATAATCTGAATTGCAGTAAAATTAAGAGAGATTCCCTTGCAATTAAGCTAAAGACGTAAAGTTCTTACAAATAATGTTCATCATTTTGCTCTAACTTTATGTTCTGCTGTTACTCGAGAAGAGAGATGGGGCAGCTAGGTTACAAAGACCTGAAATATTATATGTGAACTTCACTCAAACTGATTGATCTAAGACAAAAAAGCCCGGGCTGAGGCATGCCAGACTGAGCTCAGCCTCAAGGCCAAGCCCAAGACCATCCAAAATATACTCACCCTTGATTGAGATCATTTTCTGTGTTATCTAACCACACTCTAACATGGAAGGCGTTTCCTTCACGTACTTTTGTAAATATATCATCCATCCTTAATAATCACAGATATGTAGAAGAATGAACTGTCAAAACAATAACATAATAAATCCCCCTTCGTGGGCCCCAAATGTTACAGTTCACAGAGGTTTTATTAAAACTTGACTCTATTCCATTCTTTTCAAAAAAAATACTTAACGAGAAAGAAACATCGTATATTTTACAAATCAGATAAGTTTGTTTCTTTCTTTCTGGTATTAGAATATAACGAAAAACTTGTAAAGTTTCCTCAGGTAAATAAATTTATGAGTATTCTTCTGAAGAGTTTTCCTTCCCAGCAACTCTAGTAAAGATGGCCGCGCCCATGCTCTATAAATTCACGTAAAGTTTTATTAATTATTCCCAATTCATTCAAGCAGCAGGCGAGTTTTTGACAATTGAGTAAGTTATTGTTAAAGCAAATGCCTTTATTGAAATTATCCGAAATATTCTTTTTGCTTCCATAAATGATTTATAATGATTTAGGAATAATTATTAAAAACCGGTGTCCTTATAAAAAAGTGCTATTGTAATTAGTCCTACGTTTACCTCCAGGTTTAGTAACCATATCTTTCTTCAGTTACACAGTTTACTTCTATTTTGTCTGGACTTCTTTTAGCATAGATTAGTGTTTATTAGTCAGCATTATTTGAATTAATCTGTCTGGCGTGACAGTAGCTTTAAGGTCTTCAGCGTACCCGTTTATATACTATCCCGGTGAAACCTAAATTCGGCGATATAAGAACAAATGTCAATGGCATTTTCAATTAACTACAGTAATCTATAATTATACTTGATATCATTTTATTGCAACTATTTTAAAGTTACATAAAGTTGATTTCTAACATTGTAATAGTTCAGCGGTTGTCAAATATAAACACATATGGTTGATGTAAAATCTTACTACGATCTGAAAACGTCACCTAAATTCGGCGATTCTGATTGGTTGCAGTAAATTTTTAATTTTGGCGGGATTGTGATGTAGTATGTTGACCTAGATCGGTAGTAAAAATAGTAAGATAACAGACGGCGACAGTCAAATTATTTTAAGCAACAATATCAATCAAATAGGGGAAAGTATTGATAAACTTGAAATTGCATCATGTAAAACACACAATTTTCTCTATGTCATATACAATTTTTAATATTTACCAGCCGTTTCTCAATCTTTAGAGCAGAAAATAACTCGAGTTGTAAAAATAGACCGTGGGACATAAATATGATTGACCTTCACCTCTGAAATACCGCGTAAATGACGAAATTCAAAACATCGCCGAATTTTGGAGAACGCCGAATTTGGGTCACGGTAGGATATGACATGACGTGAACGCTGAAGACAACCCCGTAGGGAAAGTCCACCAATAATCGTGTCAGGAATCTGACATGCTCGTATTCATTCACCGAACATGCCATGAAGTAAAATGAAGCATACATTGATAAAACTATATATAATCTGTTGATAAGCCAAGGATGGACAACTTAAAATCTTATGATGAAAAACAAAAATGTTAAATAGCGGCTTATAAAGTTTTGGAAGCCAGAACTAGTGTGACAGATAATGGATGCTGACTTAACCACAGGAAATTGACATTCTATTATCAAATAATTAAAGAATAACATCAAATATACCAGCTGTAATATGAAATTAGGCAAAGCCTATGAACGGGGAAGTCATTAAAAATTTCTTTCATTCTTTCCGTTTTAAAATTGTCATTCAGTATTACATGCACCGCTTCCATTTTCACTCGGAACACTCGACGTTTATTATTTATCCGAAAAGTTGAGATTTGTTCCGTTATCGGAATACCCCGCTTTTTATCATTGAGTTACATTGTAAATGGCGGCGCCCAACTTGAACTGACACTGAAAATTTCATGGATAGATATAGAATTCTATATATTTTTTAATTGTTTTTTATTTGATTTTCTTTTAAATATACACATGTAGTCTATAGCCGGGCAAGCCAAAGCCCGGACCCGCTTTGCGGGCCCGGTCTTTGACTTCCCCGTATTATATACTATAAATAAACACAAGCAATGCAACGCCTTTTGCACACTCGATACACATTTTATCTAAAGACACACATGGAAAATCAATTTCAACAAACTAGTTTAGCAATTTTGATACACAATACAAAATTATTCCTTTTACAACCGCTGATATTTTAAATCAAAGCATTGTATAATAATAAATTGGCAGTATTTACTTCACTATCATGCACTTGCTTTTATCATTTATGTAATCAGCAGACTACACAATGCTTCAACTTTGAAACAGGCTATAACTGACCAGACAATTTTTTTCTTGAAATATACTACATTTAGTTCCTATCCCTTACACTTCTTTCCTTAGTAAATGGAGGCAGGGAACCAGTCTAGACTATGCAATTGTATTATGATACAATAAAACATTATGTACTAGTCTGATGGGAATTGGCGGGGGGGGGGGCACTATGTTATATCAGAAACAAAGAAATAATTAAAACATGCAAAAATGACATTTATATTATAGTTGAGATAATAAACTTTGCTTCATTTCTTCATTGATCACAAGTTACTGTTTTCTGCTGTCTGGTACTGGTAACTTCATTTACCTGTAAACTCAAAGTAAAACTTCCTTATAATATCAAGATGTTTGCGCCCATCTAAATTCTGAATGCTTTGGACTTCTAGGTGAAGTTTAATATTGTCATGTCTCAGTGAGTCTTATGACTAGGTCAAATACTTTTTGAGCTACACGTGACACAAGTGGAAAATTGCAAATATTTACATAGTCAAAGGCAATTACTCTTACAAAATTGAATTAATCCACACTTGACACCCCAGGTGCACAATTTTACATGCTGATCAACATTCCTGTAAAGTTTGTTGACTAGCTGGAGCACTCTATGGATTACATATACATTAAAACTCCATCTAGGCTTACTAGACATATGCAAGGGGCAGGACGTGAAGTGGTTGCACACTTGGTTCAAGCGAGCAAATTGGTTGCAAACTTGACAAAATGGCGAACACGGCGTGATTTTTTGAAACGGGTGAACGAATTTTTGCAAGGCAAGTGGGTTTCTTTGTTATTTTGAAGTTCATTGGTATGTCTATTCCATAATGTAATATATATGCCTCACTCGGTTAAAGGTTTCAGCATCCTAGATTCTGTTTTGACGAAGTTATTGAAGATATAAACTGATCATATAGATATTTTGAAATTTGACATGTGACTGTTCTGGTCGGTTTTTCTCCTAATTTATTCGAATTTGTAAGTTTTGAACTGCATTTAACAATAACAAAATATGTTTCTGTCAATGCTGTACAAATGGTTTAGTTCGTAAGTCCAAAGATAACGTTCAATACACAAAAATATCTTGTTCAAGCACATTTTGGTTGCAGACTTATACTTCAAGCATTTTTGGTTGCAAACTTATTCTTATTCTATTGAAATCCATAGTAAATCTTTGCAAAAGGAGTGTAGAAGGTTATATTTATTAACATATTTTCAATGGCAATTATTGCCATTTATGTACTGTTACTTGTTTTTGTTATACATGTTATTTATACTTTCTTCTTTTACAACAATTATGCACTTTATGTTTCAAATTACATGGTTCTCAGTTCAATACTATAATAATTAGTAAAAACATGCTCACAAAATCATAGCATATAGAAAAATATTTATTGATACTTCAATTCTAAAATATGTCATCATATGTAAAATGCAAATGAAAACTGCATACAAAACAAACGTATGTGAGAGTACTGTTGTATGTAAGTGAATTATTTTCATCATAAACATAAGGACATGTGCACACATACGATGTTACTGGATAAAATTTCCAAAATTTATCAAAACCACAAGAAATGTTAATTTGTTTGTTTCGTATGTAAAGATTTAGACATAAAGTATGTAAATGTACTTAAAATATTTTTACAAACCAAAAGTTAAAATGACATGCTTGTTTACAATATTTCGGATTTGGTGTACATCATATGTCAATTGGTATTCTAAAGATGATTTTGATTATTAGATCATAATATAAATGATATACGATTAGTTATTTACATTGACTGATACGTGACAAAACTACTTAAAGTCATTGTTCGAGGGAATTTGAAAGATGTTTCGATTGGTCAATAATAAGGAACAATTTAAAGAAACATGTGAATAATGCACTTGTGTCAATGTTAATATAGTTTTTATCTACTATACAATCAAATTTATTTCAAATCTCAAAAAGAACAATAATGAAAGCTGTTTGCTGCTATTTTTCTTCTTTTCATTTACAGTTAGTCATGCTAAGATATAATAAAAAAAAGTCTTAAGACTTTGTAAAAAGAAAAGAAGTATATCGTGGAGAAAAAATGATGAAGATAAACACAACTGAACTTCAATTTAGCATATTGTGTTTAGTATCTATTTGAAAGACCCTGTGTTAGGATATATCTGCACGTATGCACAATTTATATATATATTTCTTATTAGATGAACGGGTATAATTGCCTTAATATTGCTAATTATTTAAAAAAAATGATTTGTTATTCCTCGCTAAAAATATGCATGCCATATTATTGACACAAAAAGTTTACAACCAAAAATGCTTGAAGTATAAGTCTGCAACCAAAATGTGCTTGAACAAGATATTTTTGTGTATTGAACGTTATCTTCGGACTTGCGAACTAAACCATTTGTACAGCATTGGCAGAGATATATTTTGTTATTGTTAAATGCAGTTCAAAACTTACAAATTCGAATAAATTAGGAGAAAACCCGACCAGAACAGTCACTTGTCAAATTTCAAAATATCTACATGATCAGTTTATAACTTCAATAACTTCGTCAAAACAGAATCTAGGATGCAAAAACCTTTAACCGAGTGTGGCATATATATTGCATAATGGAAAAGACATACTAATGAACTTCAAAATAACAAAGAAACCCACTTGCCTGGCAAAAATTCGTTTACCCGTTTCAAAAAATCACGCCGTGTTCGCCATTTTGTCAAGTTTGCAACCAATTCGCTCGCTTGAACCAAGTGTGCAACCACTTCACGTCCTGCCCCTTGATATGCATCCCCTCTCTCTTAGGAAAAAACAGGCTACATCAGACTACCATAAGTTATCGTTCTTCCCCCACTGTATCACACTTTGGAACCAGCTCCCAAGGAACATTGTCACCCTGCCTGGTCTAGATCAGAATAAAGAGCCAGTGGTTAAGATACAGTATTAGTTGACTTGTTGTGTTTTTACTTTTTAATCTTTCTTTCACCCTTCCTAAATAAATACATTTTAACAATGTCTAGAAGTTTTCAATGTCACTCACTGTCCTGATCATGTTCATTTTCAGGTTTTTACTTTCTCTCACACCTTTCACTAACACACCAGACGTGCACTATTGCCTGCCTATAACACTCGAGAGAGGGGTTGGCAGTACTCAGAGATAGATAGATAGACATGTATACGCAAACCCACAGACAAGGCTAATCTAAATACCTACTGCAACCCCCTAGAAAAAAAAAATAAACATGTCTTTCCAGATTTGACATTCAACATAAACTATCAAGGAACTGTCTTTTAAAGAACAAAGTAATAGTGAATGTGAAAGCGATTAAAGTGACATTATGCCTATTTTATTGGACAAAATACAATTTCAACCACAAAGTCTATGGAATGGGTCTATGGAATGGAACAGGGGTTAACAAACTAAAAATCAAGGGTTGTGAAAAATATCTAGTTACACACAACTTAAGTAATTTTGTGGTTACCAATACCTGTGTATATCGCAGCAAGAACTTAGATATATTGAAAAGTGAAACTGTCAAAAGTATTGATTTTTCAAATTTGTATCAATTATTGATTGACAAAAATGTTGATGATATATGGATATTGTTTCTATAGATGACATGTCATTTCAACCATTTTATGTTTGTAATTCAATTAAGATTCATTAACTGTTGTTCTGCTTATTTTATTCATTTCGGCCTGGAATTACCCAGATTCCAACCCAAAGGCAAATGATTCAATACTTGTATAGTTGGGGGAGAATTTAAATTTTCTAGGCAGAATTTGCACATTGAATTCCGCCAAATTTCTGTGCAGGAAATTTTGCACAGGTATTTTGCCCATTTTCTTCTTGATTTAATTGATTAGTTAAAAATATTTATTTTTTCAGAAGTGTATTGATTATTGATCAACAAAAATATTGATGATACAGCGATATTGTTTATATCAATGACAGCTCTACCGTTTTGTGTTCCGATTAAATTAAGATTCATAAACTGATGTTCTGTTTAATTTATTCATTTCAGGATGGATTTTGAGGCAGAAAATTGGGATGTTGGCAATGAAGCCAGTGACCTTGACAAGAGCCTGTTCCAAAAAAATAAGGTATTTTGATATTTTGAGCCGCATCATGACAAAACCAACATAATGGGTTTGCAACCAGCATGGATCCAGACCAGCCTGCGCATCCGGGCAGTCTGATCAGGATCCATGCTGTTCGCTTACAGTTTTTCTACTTGTTATAGGGTTTGTTAACGAACAGCATGGATCCTGATCAGACTGCGCAGATGCGCAGGCTGGTCTTGATCCATGCTCAGGCAGGGCTCATCCTGGAGGAAAATTTTAGGGAGAAGTGACTTTGTCGCGAAAATTAGGGACAAGGGAAACAACCCAATGTGTATGCATTAACATGCATTCTATACATCCTTTAACTATAATAAATAACATTATGTAAAGACAATTAACAACACTTATAATATTTCCACAGTTTATTAATTAATTTTATTTCTATAAATATATGTATATTGTAACAATAGCAAACAATCATAAAACAATTATCAATATAGTACTACATTGCATGTTTATATTCTAAAATTCTCCATTCAGTTATCAATATTAATAAATAAAATGTTGTAACTATTTAAACTTATATTGTACCAATGATTTAAAGTCTGTCAAAAATTAATATTGCTCTTCATGCAAAAATAAAACAACAAAAAAAACAACATTTCATTGAATACAACTATCCCTGAAAAACAACAATTATATTGAATACATTTTTTAGAATGACTGAAAAAAAACAATAGCATTGAATACAAGAATACCTGGAAAAAAAATTATTTAATACAAGAATGACAGAAAAAAACAACAACACTTACATTGAATACAAGAATCACAGTGAAAACACAATTCATTTATATTAGAAGCACTGAAAAAAATACAATTTATTGAATACAACAATCAGTTATCACTGGGAGAAACAATTCACTTGAGAACAAAATCCTAAGTGTCAATCATTCAATTTCATTCAGTATGAATTCATTAAAATTCAAACTGAAACTATAGCTCAGTGTAATGAAGTACATGAACATGAAATCATCAATTCAAACTTGTTTTATTCATTCTTTATCAGTGAAACAAACTATTTCTGAGTAAGTCACAACAAAGATACATTATTGATGCATCTTTAGAATTTGGTCACTACTACTTAGAGTACAATAATCTCTTTTTGGCTGTCTTCCATTTCTTAAGAGCTCGCTTGAAATCAAATGATTTCATACATGGTCCATCTTCTGATATTCTCATAAGGTCATCCATTGTTTGATTGTTCATAGAGGTCCTTAGCCTACCCATAATCCTGTTCTGAGTGGAAAAGCCTCTTTCACACTTAACACTGTTCATTGGTAGCACTGTAACACATTTCAGAATGTTTACCATGTTTGGGTATTCCTCACTGTACTTACTGATGAATATCTTACAAAGTTCCACTAAGGTTTCATCTCTATAGGAACATTTCACAAGATTCTTGTACTGACGGTACTCTGATAGGCATTCATGTTCACTGCTTAAATGGGGTTGGTACTGTTTAACAAGGATTAGAAATTCATCATTACCATATTTGGCCACAGTGTCAGACTTGGCAATGTTTTGGGGGACAAGGACTTTCATAGAGTCTATAATTTCTGAATCTGTAAATCTGGCCTCCAAATTCTCAACAACTTTGTTAACATAGGAAGGGGCTACTCTATCAAGAATGTTTTTTTGTTGGGCATAGAACTTAACATTAGGAGCAAATCCAGTATTCTCTTCATTGTCATCTTCCGAGTCGCTTTCAAAGCCTACAAACTCCCTATTCTCTTCTATACCCAATTTTACTGTAGTACTGTCAGACTCCTTTATTGGTCTTGAGTATGTGAAAGCACCATCCTTCTCTATAATAAATTCATCAAGTTTACTCACAAAGACACCACTGACCTCCAATAAATCACGTAAACTGTCACAAGTACTAGTTACACGAGACTGAACACCACTAAAGTCCAAGGAGTCACTTTGAAAGTGTTTAGATAGCCTGGTTATATATGGGAGTACATCCATCATGAGGTGAGTGAAGGCAATGAACCGATACTGGCTGACCTCAAGGAACAGGCCTTTAGCTGTAGAATCAAGTGTTGCGTCTCGTTCTAGGCACATAACAAGAGCTGGGTAGGATCTGTATATTGCTTTTACAGCATACTCAAGACTAAGCCATCTCACAGAATGAACTTCAGAAAATTTCAGTTCTGGCAGATTTAAAACAGATTGAATGTCTCTTAGCCTATTTGATCTTAATGCTGAATTGCTAAAGTATCTAAACACGTTTGACACAGTTCTTGCATAGTTGTTAATCTCTGGGATATCTTTTGCTGCCTGTGAGGTGGCTAGAGCTGTCCGGTGAGCTGCACAGTGGACTCCAACTAGGCTTGGTGTGTGCTTACGTAGGAGAGTTACCACACCCCCAGTCCTGCCTGTCATCACACTAGCTCCATCTGTACTGATTCCGGCCATCTTAGTAATGTCAATGTTTTTATGTTTCAGTTCATCCACAACCATTTTCACAATATTCACAGCACTGGCTGACCCTGTTTTGATTTGCTGATTTGACAGTAAGGCATATTCTAGTCCTTCTTCAGCTATATACTGGGCGTACATTATCAGTCTTTTTTTGTTTGCATTGTCTATGCTTTCATCTAACACAAGAGAAAATATTCCAGACTTATGGATACCACTAATCTTGTCTTCTAAGATAACGGAGCTGATAGCAGCTTGTAGTTCAGTAACACTTTTGTTGCTGCAGTAAGTCAGTTTAGTCTTCTCGGTCAGAAGTGTACCATAGTCAGCTCCAACAGCGCTCGCAAATTCTAAATGGTGCCTAAACTCCTCTTTTGGCAATTCTCGTTTCCCAATATGGTACGCAGCAGTCAGAAGTTTTATGCCGAGTTCGTCATCCTTATCTAATTTAGCCTCAACCATCTTCTGTAGGGCTTTCTGTGGTTGCATAGTAGATCTAGCAATGGCATCTAAATGTTTTTGAGCTGCAAACATGAGTAAAAACAAATTATTTTTGATATCTATTTATCAGCTTTTTATAAGCTTTCTCTAAATATTTGTTTATTTATTAATATATTTTCATGTACATTTCTTGCTAATATTGTGTAAGAAAAAATATGATGTATAAATTAATTTTATATCTTACTATAGAAGATGAAGAATCATTATATATCGAGTAATAAAATATGTTCTATTCTGTTATGAAAACAGAGATATCTTTGAAGATATTATCACATGTAAACTATACTAAATGAGAGTCCCATCCTCCCTTTTGGGACAATATGCAGCTTTAGCTGGAGTACAGTAATTTCGCGTTTAAGTGAAACTTTATATACGCGTATAATTATGCATATAAAACAATTTTTTAACATCGAAGAATATGTAAAATATGTACTGCAAATATTTGTGCATATTATATTTAATCACTAAAATATGTACATTTATTTCTTATTGAAAAAATTGACTGAGATATTATAGAAAATAAATTTCTAATTACCTCCCTTTATTTTCATGAAATGTTAATATCGGTAATATCATTTTTGAAACTTTCAAAATTGATAAACATGTATTTATGACATATAAAACAATGATATACATTGAAACTCGCAAAACTGTCACACAATCGGGCCGATGCTCTCATTACTTACTGTTTAAAGTAGGCGGTCTATCGCTTCGCATACAGGTAGAAGCGTAGTATAAAGCGACGCTCTGATTGGATAATGATAATTAGCGGTCGGCAAATGGGCGGATACAATCTCTGCTCTTTACATCGCCAAGTAATTACTCTTTGGGAATAAGGATTTTATCGGCGAAATTGACTTCTCTTTGATCAACGGCGAGAGCGAAATGGGAATATACACGGCGAAGTTTTCGCCTGAATCGCCCTCCAGGATGAGCCCTGTCAGCTGGTCGCAAACCCATTATGTTGGTTTTGTCGTGATGCGGCTCATTTATTGCTTGAAGAATTTGTTATTATAACTAAATGTAAGTGTTATAACATGAAAAAAAAGTGTTTAGGAATACATTCATACATGTTTGAAGACAAAAAGGGCAGATAACTCTAAATTGAGATTGACAACCCACAATTGTTTTTCGATATTTTTCATCAATGACAGTCCTACAGTTTTCATTCTGCCTATAATTATATACTATAAAAACTTCAGTGAACATGTTCTAGAAAGGATTAATATAATAATTATGATAGTTTTTGTAAGTAATTAGGAAAATTTTCTGTATGTTTAAGAATTTAGAACTATACCAAATAAGATGACAGACACAGAACAATCTTTAGTGGGTTTTTTCTTCTTCAGAAAAATAGACGGATAAATGCAAAAAAGAGGAAAGAAGCTCAAAGAGGAACAATGTCCCAAGATGATATTGATAATATTAAAAAAAGAAAACTAAACGGAGAGGAAAAAGATAAAATTGAAAAGCCAGAAGGCAGCACAAGTTCTCCGGCAGTTTTTGACAGTGCAGTTGTTGGATCATTGAGTAGAAAAGAAAAACGAGACAAGAAATGGCAAGAGAAGATTTTAAGAAGAAAACAAATGAGTGGTACTAAAAGTTTAAATGTAAGCAATACATTGTCAGAGCAAGAATCTGAATTTCCAGTTAATAAAAGTCCAGCAAAATGCCAGCCTTCCAACATGAATGAAGATTCAACACAGATGAGTAGAGCTGAGAAAAGGAAGGTGAAATGGCAGAAAATACAAGAAAAGAAGAGACTCCGGCTAGGACAGACTGATTCAAATAAGCAGCCAAAAGCAAAGACTGAGGTAAATAAAAATAATAAACCTACTCAAGAGGTAAAAGATGGAGGAGATACAAGTGCAGCTGGCCAGATAAATAGAAAAGAACGGAAAAAACTGCAGTGGAAACAGAAATTAAAGGAACGAAAATTAAGCCAGAAAAATGAGAAAGAAATTGATGCAGAGGGTGCAAGTAAGGAGAAAATTGGGAAAGTTGAAAATGATTCAGCCTCTAAAAGTCAAAAAGAAGATAAACAAGAAGTCAAATCTAAAACGAAAAAGCATGTCAAAGAAGAGAAAAATATAAGTGACGAAAGTAACCAATTACACAGTCCAAAGAAAAAAGATACAGATGAAGATCAAGATAATGATACAAATACAGTCACTAATAGTGTTAAGAAGAAGGCAAAAAGAAAACGTATCTGTAAAAGAAATAAGTTTAAAGAATATGTAAAGCCAGAGGTAGAAATTCCCAAACCAGAGTCAGATGTGAAAATATCAACAGAGATATCATCTCCAGAAAAAGTGGTCCAAAGTGTGATAAAGGTAACTCAGAACAGTGAAAAATCAGCGACTTCCAATAATAAATCTTTTAAATCGAAAAACAACAAAAAGAAAATGAAAGATAATGTAGGAAAGAAAATAAATGAGTTAAAACAATCCAAAAGCACTGTAGTGGAATTGAAGAAAGATGCAGTAGGAAAAGTATATGAAAACAAAGGAGTTAAGAAAAATAGTGGACAAACCGCGATGAAAGAGGGGAAAAAGAATATTTCATTAGATCCAAATGTGCTAAGAAATATGTTTTCTCCTGTAAAAGTAAAAGCAGCATCTTCAAATGACAGTGCTGCTGTTACGGACAATGATCAAAACAATAATGATAATAATGGTGAAGAAGATTCAGGTTTCAGTAGGCAGAAGAAAGGTAACACAAAAGGGAAAAGCTTGCTAGAGAAAAGTAGGGAAAGGCTGAATGCAGCTAGATTTAGGTGAGTGTTGGGAGATTTTGTTGAGTGTTTGGAGCTTTGGGGAAAGGAGTGTTAAGAGATTGTATGGGAGTGTGGTGAGAATTTGGGGCAGCGTTTGGAGATTTTGGTGAATGTTTTCACGTTAAGTGTTGTAGACAGTTGTCTGTGTGTTTTTAGATTGAAGTTTAATATGTAACTAATTTAGCCAAGTGTAGTTTAAAAAGCTTAAAGTGTTGTAAAATATGCATAAAAGCAGAATAATTTATACTGTTAGGTATTTTCTTGTTTGACATGAAACAAAGAATGATGATACAAAGAAAAAGGGAAAAAGGGAAAAAAATGACCATTCACAGTAAAAAACACAAGAAATAAAAATGTTTTAGTTAAAGATGTAAGTGCTGAAAAGTATCTACCATACTTGTATATTATTTAATTTTCATTGTAACTATAATTATAATTTCTGTCTTACACTTATCCTCATATTGAACTTTAACTGTTTGCTACCCGAAGGTGCAATACTTAGATGGCAGTAGAAAAGATGTACAAATGTAACACATAGTTTTACATTTCTATATTAACAATTACTGTTATGTTTTGTTTAGGTATCTGAATGAACAGCTTTACACAACAACTGGCCAGGAAGCATTTAAAATGTTCAAGAATGATGACATAGCATTCAGTGTGTATCATGAAGGGTTCCAAAGTCAAGTTGAAAAATGGCCAACAAATCCTATAGATGTTATAATTGAGAAAATTCAGGCAAAGTAAGTCAGTTAACAACTTATGTAATTACTTCATTAAGGAATGATATAAAGATTATATAATTTCTTGTAAATAGGTCATTTTTAACGTTCCTTTTTAATACCAAATGTGCTAAATTATATTATTAATTCATAAAGGCCCTTGGCTTATGTTTGTAAAGTACAGTTTAATAATAAACAGGAAGGATGATTAACTGTAAACCTGGTTATAATTTTTGGGAAAAAATCGACTTGGTTATTTCTTTTAAAATAGTAGTAAAATAGCACTAGTAGTATAAAGAATGATTAAGATTTAATTATTAAACAAAACGTTTCAATTCAGTACTATGAAAGAAGCAAAAAATGAAGACTTTCTGTATGCTTCATTCAAAGGTCTATTACAGAGATAGTGTATGGAGTGATATTGTAAATCATGCCTCTTAATATTTAAAACTTCTGAACTTTTAGACCGAAGCACCTGATTCTGGCTGATTTTGGCTGTGGGGATGCAAAGCTTGCCCGAAGTGTGCCAAACCAGGTGCATTCATTTGACCTTGTTGCACTTAATGACCATGTTACAGTCTGTGATATCTCAAAGGTAATAGGCTATTTTGTTATGCTTGGTTCTATGTTTGAATTGATGTTTAACATCCTGTGCTTTTAGTAGAATTATATGTTTTTGAAATATTTCAGTTAATTTAGGTATATTTCACCTTAAAATTACAACATTTAAATGATTATGCTTCTATTTATAATCATCAAAAAACTTTCTACTGTCGATGATTTAGTTGAACAACACAATTATGGCTAATGCCACTTTTCCTCCACAGCTGTGGAAAAATTGGAGATTTCTTTAAAAAATGTATGTTATTCTCCTCTTATCTATAGGAACACTCATTTTAAGAGGGTTATTCAAGTTTGTAGTTCCCAAAAATAATATTCTGTTCCCTAGATTAAGATTAACCTGTATGCAAAATCCCATCTACATAGAAAAGAACATAAGGGCTGCTGCCATACACCACTTCTTAATTTTGATGTTAGAAATGATATATCAGTGTTATCTTTAGGGGGACAGATAATATGGAACATGTGTTAATTGTAAAGCATATGACAGACTTGAATAGTGTGGCTTTACATGTTGATAAAACAAAATGAAACAGCATGTATGATGCTATTACACAAAGTGATTGATATTTTGATACTGCCTTTATTCAACAGGTTCCATTAAAGGATAAAACAGTTGATATTGCAGTGTTCTGTTTGTCACTGATGGGTACCAATCTAACATCATATCTCAATGAAGCTAATAGAATCTTAAAGAACAAGTAAGTATTATAGGTTCCCATAGAATTATTGTTTAATTAAAAATGTGTAAATGTATACAGCTTATTTCAATAATGAAAAAAAAAATGAATATTGTATACCTTTCAGTTAACTGTTAAAAATACATTTTCAACAGGAGAAATGTGTTGTACATACTTCTAGATTATTTTGTTTCTCATTCTTAATACATATGTATTAGGTCGTTACAACATAAGTGTGAACTGATGTTGAATTAATTCGCCTTTCATGGCAACTTATTAATGGTAAAGTTATGAGAAAGGATTAGCCTCTTTGCTCCAAACTACAAAGGACAGTTGTCTATGTTTGACCAAAGATCTCTGTTTCAGTTTGTCACTATTTTGTGCAGTATTATTATGCCCCCATTTCGAAGAAAAGGGGGTATATTGCTTTGCACTTGTCGGTCCGTCGGTCCGTAGACCAAATGGTTTCCGAGTGATAACTAAAGAACCCTTAGGCCTAGGAACTTCAAACTTGGTATGGTGATTGGTCATGACCAGTAGATGACCCCTATTGATTTTGGGGTCAAGGGGTCAAAGGTCAAGGTCACATTGACCTTGTAAGCAAAAACGGTTTCCGATCAATAACTAAAGAACCTTAAGGCCTAGGAACTTCAAGCTTGATATGGTGATTGGTCATGATCAGTAGATGATCCCTATTGATTTTGGGGTCAAGGGGTCAAAGGTCAAGGTCACATTGACCTTGTAAGCAAAAACGGTTTCCGATCAATAACTAAAGAACTTTAAGGCTTAGGAACTTCAAACTTGGTATGGTGATTGGTCATGACCAGTAGATGACCCCTATTGATTTTGGGGTCAAGGGGTCAAAGGTCAAGGTCACATTGACCTTGTAAGCAAAAACGGTTTCCGATCAATAACTAAAGAACCTTAAGGCCTAGGAACTTCAAACTTGGTATGGTGATTGGTCATGATCAGTAGATGATCCCTATTGAGTTTGGGGTCAAGGGGTCAAAGGTCAAGGTCACATTGACCTTGTAAGCAAAAACGGTTTCCGATCAATAACTAAAGAACTTTAAGGCTTAGGAACTTCAAACTTGGTATGGTGATTGGTCATGATCAGTAGATGACCCCTATTGATTTTGGGGTCAAGGGGTCAAAGGTCAAGGTCACATTGACCTTGTAAGCAATAATGGTTTCCGATCAATAACTAAAGAACTTTAAGGCCTAGGAACTTCAAACTTGGTATGGTGATTGGTCATGATCAGTAAATGACCCCTATTGATTTTAGGTTCAAGGGGTCAAAGGTCAAGGTCACATTGACCTCTTGGGTAAAAACGGTTTCTGATCAATTACAAAAGAACCCTTAGGCCTAGGAACTTCAAACTTGGTATGGTGATTGGCATGACCAGCAGATAACCCCTATTGATTTTGGGGTTAATGGGTCTAAGGTCAAGGTCACATTGACCTTGTAGGTATAAACGATTTCCGATCAATAACGAAAGAACCCTTAGGCCTAGGAACTTCAAACTTGGTATGGTGATTGGTCATGACCAGCAGATGACCCCTATTGATTTTGGGGTTAAGGGGTCAAAGGTCAAGGTCACATTGACCTGGTAGGTAAAAACGGTTTCCGATCAATAACGAAAGAACCCTTAGGCCTAGGGACTTCAAACTTGATATGGTGATTGGTCATGATCAGTAGATGACCCCTATTGACTTTGGGGTCAAGGGGTCAAAGGTCAAGGTCACATTGACCTCTTAGGTAAAAACGGTTTCCGATCAATAACTAAAGAACCCTTAGGCCTAGGAACTTCAAACTTGGTATGATTATTGGTCATGACCAGTAGATGACCCCTATTGATATTGGGGTTAAGGGGTCAAAGGGCAAGGTCACATTGACCTTGTAGGTAAAAATGCTTTCAAATCAATAACTTAAGAACCCTTTGGCCTAGGAACTTCAATTATGGTATGGTGATTGGTCATGACCAGCAGATGACCTATTGATTTTGGGGTCAAGGGGTCAAAGGTCAAGGTCACAATGACCTTGTATGTTAAAACGGTTTCTGATCAATTTACTAAAAATGCTTAGGCCTAGGAACTTCAAACTTTGTATGATGATTGGTCGTGACCAGCAGATGACCCCTATTGAGTTTTGGGTCAAGGGGTCAAAGGTTAAGGTCATGACCAGTAGATACTTGATAACCCTTATTAATTGTTTGATCACTGGCTCAGAAGTCATAATAACCTTATCACATGACTAATTGGCTGCTGATAGGGGGCATACATGTTTTACAAACATATCTTGTTTATGTCAGTCTTGACTATTTTATAAATGTTTTATACTTTGTTTGTCCAGTGGTACTCTGATGATAGCTGAGGTATCAAGCAGGTTCCATAGTGTCGGCAGTTTTGTACTTAAAGTGGAAAAGATGGGTTTTAAAATAAAAAACCAGGTAAAGGCCTTTAAGGGAATGTTAAATTTAGAAAAAAATATCTTACAAGTACTGAAAATACATGTACATCTTTAAAGTATTAAGATAAAAGTTGGGTATTATTTTTACCTAAAAATATTTAAGTAGAAGGGGAAATTATTTAAAGCTCTAGGTAGCTCATGTTCTTATATTGATGGACAATTTTTTAAGGCACATGCCATATTATACAACCATAATAGAAGCAGTTACAATGAAATACTGCATACTGGAAACAAACACATTAATTAGCATAATGTTTGATGAACAATGATGTTTCTCTCTGTAAATAAAAAATAAAATGATCCGACAACTACATTCATTTTACTATTTCAAATTTATTTATGCATTGTACAAGTTATCTTTTATAAAAAAAATCTGGCTTTAAATGTAATTTATTCTGTCCCTCTCTGTGTATTATAATTTTCCTTTGATATGTACTTGTATGACAGTCTCTTTCTGTAATTGTTTAACAGATTATCCCTATTATTAAAGTTTATCCATATACTTGTATTTCTTGTAATACATATCTGCATAATGTAGGTTATCTCTGTATTTCAGGGTAGTTTTTTTTTCTTGATACTTGTACCACACTTGTACAATATCATTTTATCCATACCCTTGTATTACTGTTTATATTTATCCTTGTACAACAGGTTTTTCATATTGTTGTTTCACAGATGATCAATACCCTTAAATTATAGGAAATTCCTATTCTTGTATAACAGTTTATCCATATTGTTGTATTATAGCTTATAGCTATCCTTGTATAAAGATTATTTCTATTCTTGTATTGAAGTTATCTCTACTATTGCATTACAGTTTATTGTTGTATTACAATTAAATCATTATTCTTGAATTTAAGTTTACCTGTATTCTTGTTTTATAGTTCATCTCTATTCTTGTATATTACAGCATATCTATATTCTTGTATTATATTGTATACTTATCTTCAGTCTTGTTTTCTACCACATGTTTTGCAGTTTCTCCTCATACTTGTATTTGATGTAATATTTTTGTATCACACTCTTTTTTTTTCACATTTGTGTAACATTTCTTCCCATACTTGCAAACCAGTTTCTTAACATACAAATATTTTTACTTCTCCCTATAGTTATTATACAATATTTGCCTATATCTAAATATTTCAGGATGCTGCCAACAAGATGTTTATAATGATGGAATTTAAGAAGACTGCTGAATGTAAAGATAAAACTGTTGAAGACATAGAATTAAAACCATGTATATATAAGAAAAGATGATGGAACTTGTTAAAGATATGTGAACTTATAATGTTATGTAAGAATTATGCGTTAGTCAACCATTGGATTGGATACATGCTGTTAGAGTATGAAGTTGGAATTTATCTATGAACTTTATCCATGTAACATTGCAATAAGAACATGTTTTGCTTTTATTAATGAAATGTCTATTGTAAGTGTAAGGGATTTCTATAACAAATATTATAATTGAGCAGGGTATAGTGTTGTCAGTATACATGTGCAGAGCATCTGCATGGTGGCTCTAAAATTACGATGTTTATCTGCCATTGTTTTTGCTTGATCACAAATTGTAAATCTTCTTTATCTTATAAACAAGGTATTCACTTATGATCTTTGAATGACTACATGAAACTTTCCTATATAAAAAAGCAGGCAAATAAGGTTATAATACATGTATATATGCATGTTGTGAATGGAGTAATTATTCCAATTCTAATAACTTAATAGCCTGAATGTATATGGATTTATAACTTAATATGTAAAATGATGAACTCAGGATCAGTTTTAAGTCAAAGCAATTTTTAAATCCAGGCAGCTATGTTTTATTATTCTTGGGATAGGATTTCATACTTTTAATGATACATGTTTTTAGGATTATTTTTGTTAGAAATACAATGTATTTTATCATTATACAACTTGTGTTAATGATACAAATAAATGATTTTAAATTTCCGTGAGTTTTGATTTATTTTTACAAATAATGTTATATTATTAAAACTATATTGTGACATCCCTTGATGGATATTGAAATTTCTTGACATAAATGTCCACCTTTTGGAATTTAACATGGATACTATTGTCTCATAATAAATTGGTATAATTTCTGGAACTGATTTAGATAACTTATACTTACCACCTCATGATATCTATAGCACAGTAAATGATTAAATGCAATAAGAATTTGTCATATGACTTGTTTCTTTACATTGGCTGATGAACAAAAGCACTCTTTATAAAAATACAAATGCAAATATTGACATTGATCATCAATGGATAAAGGATGTTACAGTAATGAAGTTGTGAATGAATTTTGTGACACTGATAATAATATAGATGCTATGAAAGATTCTCGTTGTTCCAGTGATGATGTCTCCCAAGCATTGCACAAATATTTTGAGGAAAATATTAACTATGTGAAACACTAAGCACTTTTGACTTTGAAGACTGTGTTGGTGAAATAATTGACTGCAAAAATGAAAAATTCTGACAGGTAAAAACAAATTAACTGTTGCCAAGGTGAGAAAGCATTGATACAATTGTAAAACAAGAGGGCCATGATGGCCCTGAAATTGCTCACCTGAATATAAAAACTTGCCATGACAAGGAACAAGTAATATTGTAAACTATAAACAAAAGTAGATATAAAAATCTCAATCTTAAACTGATATCACAAAGTTCATATTTGTATCTAAAATAGTGCATATGTAAAAACATTACTGGTTGCTACTACAAAGGGAAAACAACAGTTCCAAAAGATTTTTACATATAAGGAATATCAATGACCCCCGAGGCAGGCTCTTTGGCCTTTCTAAAAGAAGACATATAAGATTTTACTATACACATATAAGGAAAATCAATGACAGCTCTTTGTGCTGCGTCAAAGAAGATTTTTTTTTGTTTTTATCATATATATACATATAAGGAAAATCAATGACCCAAAGCGTGGCCAATTTAGATCCCATGTTTTGTATTTTAAGTTAGAAGTTCAGGTGTTTTTGACAAGAAACCCAAATGAGACATGCGCAAATTTATACAATTATGTAACATGGAAAGCAAACAATTATGTAACATGGAAAGCAAACGATGACATGCAATTTGTCTTAGATCCACATGCTTGTGCCATGTATATTGTATAAGTAAATCACAACTGGTATTGGTAATCTTATGCATGCTGCTGCAAAAGAAGCAAGAAATGACAAGTAGATATCAGAAGTGCAAGAGACCTGGTATTCGTAAATACTTCTGTTCCCAACCAAAGAGTACAATTGTTAAAGCCCGAGTCTGCTCTTGATGACTTGTCTGCAGACTCAACTGATATCATGTCAGATAACATGATAAAAAGATATTCGAAACGTCCACATGTATTTGCTGAAAACTACGAGTATTACATGCATATTTTCAATGACACACTTCTCAACAATTCAAACAATTAACAAATGTCCTTTCCGTATCATGATTCTATTCTTTCACCAAAATTATCCAAGGATAAACAAGAAGAGGCTGTCAAAAGATTGCCCACAGATCCAAACAGAACTACTAATCATCATTGTTCATTGGATATTGTTGTATTATTTAACTGTCTATACAAATACTGGATACATACAAATGGTGCATCATGTGTTATAAATTTCATATGTATAAATTGAAGGAAAACACGATGTCATAATATCATTTGGTAGAATTTGGTGATTTGATTGCTGGTTGTGAAACTAGATTAAAATATAAAAAATCGAGACTTTTATCACGAACAAATACATGTATACGAAAATTGTACATCAACACTTGATATCGCAATGACCTTCACATAACAAAAAAGAACTTTTGAAAGTAACCAGTTTCCAAAATAACCTTCTGCTGGGAGATTACTCCATAGGGCACAAGAAACAACACTCACTCGATAGTGTGGTTATTGACTTATCCCAAAGGTAAACACGAAAAGTTCCACACCTTTATTATGTTGCATTTAGTAGAGTTAGGTCTTTAGAAAAGCTTCAAATTCTCAAATTTAATGAGCAGGTTTTACAAGTTGATGAATAAGTTAAAACAGAAATGGAGAGATTGCTTAAAGATGCTTCTCTAGAATTGTGTCATCTTCCTTTGGAATCTATACATGAATTTTCAAATATGTATTTTAAAATTGCATTCAACAATATTAGGTCATTAAAAAGCGTTTAACTGATGTGAAACATGATCAGGGATTTTTTTAATTTTTGTTTTGTGGTATTATTGGATTGGCAGAAACTAGTTTAAATTTAAACGATAATGATACAGGGATACCATTTAATACCCAATGACCAATGTACTACATCAACACCTGAAAGACCTCTACACTAATTACTTTTTACGTCAAAGATGATGTCTTAGTAAAATCTGCCAGAATTTGTATTTGTTCTTCTGAATGTTGTACGCGATTTAAGTGAAATGCAAGTTAATTTGTGGTATCATATAAATCAAAACAAAGTTTGTTTCTGCCTTTTTGCACTGTGCTGACAGAGAAACTCTTTCCACGTTAGGTACATTATAAGCCTCTTATTATTCTGGGTGAGTTTAACATTGATGATGTTTTAAAATGTCATAGGGGTGTTTTGCAGTATTTGTGCTATGATAACATCTTAATGATACTACAACTCATTATCCAACTGCATTAGACTTGTTAATAACAAATATTGATGCTACTGTAGGTACAGTAGAAACTTACTGGTCAGATCACAAGATTGTCTACTGCTGTTCTGAAAGAATCTGAGACAGCAATATAAAATCCACAGGGCTGACCAAAATAACAATCATTGCATTTGTTTTACTTTAAAAATTCACCTTCCCACTGTTAAAATGTATGTATAATGTCGTAATATAAATTTTGACCTTCACCTAATTACCTACTTCCAGTCAGATGATGGGCTCAGGGCCATCGTGGCACACTTTTGTAATTCTGATTTGCCGCATGGAAGTGCAGTGGGAACTTGTGAAACATTTTGGTCTGATCATAAAATTGTGAATCCAAAATCTTTGCACATCAACGCCTATCTAGCCTATCTAAGGAAAAGCTATGGACTCTCGCCCAGATTATTATATACATGTTACAATGTCTTAAATATAGATCTAGTTTGTTATTGTACAAGTATTTTTGCATTTATATCCCATTTGTTGTTACTGTGCAAAGTGTTCCCATTTTATAACAAACTCTACTCATTACTCTCATTGTATACATGTACGTACTAAGTCCTTTTCTATGTGATTTTGGTGGTTTATATGTCATTTCAAAACATGGGTAGTAATTCCTTTCAAAAATAGGGCTGGCTAGGTGCTGCAAGTGTCAGAAATTTATGAATTATATATATATTGATATATATTAGATCTATAGCAAATTAAATTTACTGCCGTTCATCCTACAACAAAATGAGACAGAACTAAATTAGTACTATTAAACCTAATATAAGCGGAGTAATTTGTGTAAAACAGATAAAATTAAAATTTTCCAAAAACGTTTGTTCTAAGGTAAATAATTAAATTTGTCTTGTATAATTTTACACTAAACTTTTTAACATTAAATATTGTTAAAATCAAAAGATAGAGAAGTCAATGTTAGGAATTATTTATTTCACTGTTCTTCGGTTTTCCCGCTATATGTCACAAAAATTGAAAACAAAAACAAAAACAACAACAACATGGCGTCCACACAGGAAAAAAAGTAGAAAAGACAGGAAAACATTGTTGGCTTCTTGTGTAGGGGCCTCCGTGGCCGAGTGGTTAAAGTCGTTGACTTGAGATCACAGGTCCCTCACCACTGTAGGTTCGATCCTCACTCGGGTCGAAATCTTTCATGTGAGGAAGCCATCCAGCTGGCTTACGGAAGGTCGGTGGTTCTACCCAGGTGCCCGCTCGTGCCTGAAATAATGCCCGGAGGGGCACCTGGGGTCTTCCTCCACCAATAAAGCTGGAAAAAAAATCGACGAAAAATCTCGGCGGGACGCTCTAGGATGACCCGACTTGAGTGTACGGTCGCCCATATGGGTTTCCGGCGGCGACCTTAAATAAACGCATCAAAAAAAAAAAAAAAATTGGCTTCTTGCACAGTGTGTCTCCGTTGAAAAAAAGTTCCAAACCCACTAAAAGTACTTCAGACAAGCAACGGTATAGTTTCCAAACTGATTCTCACATATTTTTTTTCTGCCAAGTAGATTTGACAAAATAACAGGCTGGTGAAAATGCCCGATCGGGTTTATGTCATAAAAAATCATATTCCTAGAAAATAAATAAAGATATTTCTATTAAACTTTGTTTATTGAAAATAATATTTGACATAAACAGAAAGAAAAATATTTGCCTACTGTCACTTTTGTGAGATTTATTTCCCTTTTTTTCAGGATTTCAATTTTTATAACACATAATTTTTGAAGTCCTTAAAAAGAATGTTACATATGCAAAGTGTAAAACAAAATAGGTTAAATAACCTCTTTATACTCTAATTCATTGTGCCAACAAAATGAACTTGTTAGACACATTTCTATTTAGAATTTTACGTTACAATATAATTTTATGAACTTCAAATATTTTGTTTCTAGAAAATGGGGAAAAGAGAAATAATTCCAACAAAATAAAAGATAAACAAAATATTTTTATTTTGATTTGTATCATATATCAATGCTTAATAAACAAAACAATTGAGAAAGAAACATTTTAATTATTTTTATAGAAATATGATATCTTTATGTCTAAGCCGATCGGGCATTTTCACCAGCCTGAATAAGACTAGCTACCAAACAAACAGATTGGATAATTTAGATTTGACATAGACCTTAAATTGACCTTTACTGTCGAGATCAAATTAATGAATTTTCTTGTTTTTCCTATAACTTTGTTATTTGCAATGAATTAACTTCATATTTGGACACAACATCTTTAAGCCGAGGACCTTCGATCATGTATAACAAACTCAAATTGACATTGACTCGTGTATGACCTTGATGGCCAAATTATTGAATTTTCACTGATTATTGCTATAATTGCCTGTAATTTGGTTATTAAACAATGGATTATCTTCATACTTGGACAAAACAACTTTTTGGACAAGACAAGACCTTATAAAAGGTTTCAGGAACTAACTGACCTTGACCTGAAGCTTTAAATGACCTTGACCCTCAAGGTCAATTTATTGAATTTTGTTAAGTTGCCATAATTTTTTATGTACAGATTTGATTTATACTGGAAAAAAACAAGACTTTCTACCAAAAAAATTGAATAATTCACATGTGACCTTGACCTTTAATTGACCTTGACTTTCAAGGTCAAATTAATGAAATCCTATAGCAATGAGATTTGGACTATGTGCACAGTTTTAGATGTAAAATTGAACTTTGATATCTGCTGACCAGATAATTTGATGAAGTGACCTATTTTCTTGACCTTCCATGTACAGCTATGAAATTTGGGCCATGTGCATAGTTTCAGATGTAAAATTAAACTTTGTTATTGGCTGACCTAAATAATTTAACTAAGTGACCAACTTTCTTGTTCTTTCATGTACAGCTATGAAATTTAGACCATGCGCTCATGCAGTTTTAGATGTAAATTAAAAATTGAACTTTCAGCTGACCTAGATTTTGATGAAGTGACCTACTTTCTTTTCCTTACTTTCTTTTTCAAGATTTGCTTAAACCTTAAAAAAAAGTAAAAATGTTTAGTGTTGCAGCTGTTCAGCTGTGGCTCTTGTATTTTCTTGTCTTGAACTTTTTTTATCAAAACAAGTATTTTTGCTCAGGGTCATTATGACCCTTGTGTTTCATCTTACAAAAGATATATCCTGTGTTGCACTTGTGCAAGCCAAGTAGCAAAATTAATTGTGTTTTATTGAATGAAGTTAAGAAATACACATTAGTGAAACCTTGTTGGATCATTGACATTGGAGAAACCATATTTACTTTATAAAAAATTTAGTTTTGGAGAAACCAGGTTTACTTAATTCAAAATTTAGTTTGATTGTGTTGGAAGCTATAAGCTTATATGGAACCTGTTCCTGGAACCAACCATTTCCAAGCAATGAGTGAAACAATCTCTAATCCATACCTGGAATCAATCAGTACTAAACCATGAGTGTAAAGTTTCTTGCTCATAGAAACCAGAAGTCATCAATTCTCACATTACTAGTGTGAAGTGTTAAACACTGGGCTACGCCGCCATAAACCAGATTTGTTGGCATTATATAGATATGCAGAGTCTTATAATGGTGTCTTAGATTTTGACTCTGATGTACACTTTTATTCCCATTGATGAACCAGTTTGAAATTTTGCTGTGGTATATGATGATGTTGTCTTTTTAGCTCACCTGTCACAAAGTGACAGGGTGAGCTTTTGTGATCGCTTGTTGTCCGGCGTCCGGCCGTCATCCGTCCGGCGTCCGTCCGTCCGTCCGTAAACTTTTACTTTAAATGACATCTCCTCATAAACCACTAAGCCAATTCCATCCAAACTTCACAGGAATGTTCCTTTGGTGATCACCTTTAAAAATTGTTCAAAGAATTTAATTCCATGCAGACCTCTGGTTGCCATGGCAACCAAAAGAAAAAACTTTAAATTTCTTCTTTTAAAAAACCCGCTAGAGCTTAGATATTTGGCATGAAACATCTTCTAATGAGTGTCTACCAAGTTTGTTCAAATAAAAGCCCTGGGGTCAAAATTTGCCCCGCCTCAGGGGGTCTTTGATTTTCCCTATATGCATATAGTAAAACCTTAAAAAATCTTCTTTTATTGAACCCAAAGAGCTAGAGTTTAGATATTAAGCATGAAACATCTTCTAGTGAGTGTCTACCAAGTTTGTTCAAATAAAAGCCCTGGGGTCAAAATTGGCCCCGCCCCAGGGGGTCATTGATTTTCCTAATATGTACATGTAGATGTATTAAGTAAAAACTTTAAAAATCGTCTGTAAAAACCCCAAAGAGCTGGAGCTTAGATTTTCACCATGTGAGTGTCTACAAAGTTTGTTCAAATAAAAGCCCTGGGGTCAAAATTGGACCCGCCCCGGGGTTTATTGATTTTCCTTATATGCATCGTAAAATTTTAAAAATCTCCTTTTTTTAAAAACCAAAAACAGCTAGAGCTCAGATACTTGAAATATATTCTAGTTGGTGTCTAACACCAAGTTATTAAAGTACAAGACCTGGGATCTAAATTGACCAAGCCCTGGGGTCAAAATGGCCCCGCCCCAGGGGGTCTTTGATTTTCCCTTTATGCATATAGTAACAACTTAAAAAATCTTCTTTTAAAGAACCCAAAGAGCTAGAGCTAAGATATTTAGCATGAAATATGTTCTAATGAGTGTCTACCAAGTTTGTTCAAATTAAAGCCCTGGGGTCAAAATTGGCCCCGCCCCAGGGGGTCATTGATTTTCCCTAAATGCATATAGTAAAAACTTAAAAAATCTTCTTTTAAAGAACTCAAAGAGTTAGAGCTAAGATATTTAGCATGAAACATGACTTGTTCTAATGGGTGTCTACCAAATTTGTTCAACTAAAAGCCCTGGGGTCAAAATTGGCCCCGCCCCAGGGGGTCATTGATTTTCCCTATATGCATATAGTAAAAACTGAAAAAATCTTCTTTGAAAAAACCTAAATAGCTAGAGTTTAGATATTAAGCATGAAACATCTTCTAGTGAGTGTCTACAAAGTTTGTTCAAATAAAAGCCCTGGAGTCAAAATTGGCCCCGCCCCGGGTGTTATTGATTTTCCTTATATGTGTATAGCAAAAACCTAAAAATCTTATTTGAAAAAAACCCAAATAGCTAGAGTTTAGATAGTAAGCATGAAACATCTTCTAATGACTGTGTCTACCAAGTTTGTTCAAATAAAAGCCCTGGAGTCAAAACTGGCCCTGCCCCAGGGGTGTCATTGTTTTTAACTATATGTGTATAGTAAAAACTTAAAAAATCTTCTTTTAAAAAACCCAATGAGCTAGAGCTTAGATGTTTAGCATGAATTATCTTCATATATGGTTGTCTACCAAGTTTGTTCAAATAAAAGCCCTTGGGTTAAAATTGGCCCTGCGGGGAGGGGGGGGGGGAGATTGTTGTTTTTCATTATATGTGTGTTGTAAAAACTTAGCATCGTGAAACATCTTCTAATGGGTGTCTTCCAAGTTTGTTCAAATAAAAGCCCTGGGGTTTAAACTGGCCCGCTCCGGGTGCCTTTATACAGGTGAGCGACCTCAGGGCCATCATGGCCCTCTTGTACCAGGTCTATCATTGATGAATGTTTCTTTCCTTGGAAGGAAACATTTTGTTATCCATTATATCAAATTTTTATCTTAATATAGTTAACAATCAAATCATATCTGAATGGTTCAAAGCCAATCCAGCCCAATATAACCATCATTGTCCATTGAAATAGTTAATGTTCTTGAGCAGCACTAAGAATTAGTCTTGCAACAAATCATAGGTGATCATCATCGTCTACAAATTTGATATAAATCATGGTAAGAAAATAGAAGTAAAAGTAGATTTTAAAAATGAAATCTATATCAAAAACTGCAAGTATCGGAACAAAATTAAGATATATTTTGTATACGGCATTTACTGGTGATCCTGTACAGTTTCCCCTGGGAGTAAAACATTACATAGATTATTACATGTACATGTACTTTTTCATTTTCTCAGATTACTGAAGTGTTTTGATATGCCTGAAAGAATTTTTGGCTCATAATGTTTGTATTTCATATACATATATATAATATGCTACATAGCATTTAAGATATAACAATTAAAGGGAAGTAACACAATAACAAGTCTGAAATGTTGCTAAATAAGTTATCTTTCTTGATACCATAACAGTGCTTTTAAACTACAGGATGGATATTAAAACTACTTTGCACTTAGTCATTATTTATGAATTTCAATACAATTTGTATTTCATCTTTGATGCAGCTTGAATGGGATGAAATTGAAACTATTTGACAGAAATGTTAACCATAGAGACGATGTGCCGCACAAAGGTTTATGCTTCCATGGACCATGGTCAACTCGTGTAACTCTTTGTGGATCATTATATGTGTAAATTTCAATGTTTTCTGTCAGCTCTGTATTTTATGAACTGATAGAAGAAAATTAAGACTATTTTCAGAAATGTTAACTCAGGAGGCAATAA